GGTGTTCCGTCACCACGGCTAATTGATAATGCAAGCCTATGCGGCGGTAGGAGTGAACTGGTAACGACAATGTGAGAAGTATCGGATACTTTTCTGTTTAAAAGGCCCATCTCGGCTCCCATAGACCACCAAACGCAGACAACCAACGAAATCACATGAATATCATCATGTGAGAGAATCGTTGAAGATTTGTTTGAGCAGAAGGATTGGCATTGAAGATTCACAAGTCCGCGGGGTTGATGGAGCTTGATGGTATGGAGGATGCGGGAGTTTGGGGCTTGTGGTGCCCGATGTCTGTCGTCGTCGTCGTCTTAGGTAGTGTATTTCGAATAGTTTACGGGCACTTTTGTGTAGATGGCGGTTCTTCAAGCATGGATGGCTTTTGAATCGGGGGATTGGTAGTGGCTGATGCATTCCGAGGTCATTAGGCGAGAAGTGGTCCCTTGAAATTGGGGGCACTGATGATTGGAACTATGCTGTCACTCTATCCGACATTTGTCCTGGCATGTTGAGTTGAATGGGATTGAGGTGCTGTGTTTTGTATACCATAGAGGTTTGGCAGGCGGCGGTTGTGGTATAAAAAGGGGCGATGTCATCCTGAATAGGGGCTAGTCCTTTGGCATTGTAATCACCGGGACCTTCTCCATAGTTCCGTTTTCACTGTTGATCGGACGGACTGCATACCAATCCTTGATGTGAGTGATCTCTTCGTTTTTGGCCAGTGGCGTTTTTCAACGCGGTGTTCATGCTGAGAAGAATGGCAGTGGATGGCCTACGAACACCAATATCTGGATATTACTTCTGTTAGGTGCTGTTGTCATCGTATTGCCAGATGACGTTGAGGTTTATTAGGGTTGCCTGGTCCTGGGTGACTCAAGGAAAGGTTTAGGAGGCATCAGACTAAGGTGGGTTGGTGGTCCGCAGCGCTGGTGACCATTAATCGAGGTTTTCGAAGGAAACTTACATTACATAGACAAAGCGAACAAAACGGTTTCCCGGGAAGTGCTCAATACTGACAAAGCGGGTTTTGGAACATATATATATATACTCTGTGTTGCCGGCGCTGTGGGTAGTTTTGCGTGGCAAGAACTGGCAACTTGAGCGTCCATCTGTTCTGGGACCGTTTTCTTTCTGAAGTTGGTATAAAGGCATCTTTTGGGAGAGAAAGAAAGTCAGGGCCGTAAGACAAACAATGTTCTGCACTGATCTGGTGGTCTGGCTTAATCTTCCCGGTATGGTGTTCTCCGGTGGTGCTGGCTTCAGAACATGAGCGTTGTTGCCGTGGTGAGGGGATTCGCTTCTAGGCACTCAGTTGCCTCTCGTTGTTGTAGTTATGGTATACGCAGCGTATTCTGCCTCTGATGGCCAGGAATATGTTGCGGCTCGGTTCATGGAAGCCACGCTCATTTTCACAAGAGACGGACGGGTGTGCGGCATTGCCATCCCCAGGGCCGTCCGCATTCGACCAGACCGAAGCAACATGATCAATTCTGGCGGAAAGATTTGAATGCTTGAATTTCCGTTGAATTTATACCCATTGAAATCATAGCCTCTGCCCAGACTGTTGTTTCGCGGAGTCTATTTAATAACTGCTGTCCACACGTAGGTGCGATTTCGGCGGCAATGAACAGGCGCTACGTTCTTACTGAGCTTGCCGATGGAACCTTTGCTTTCAAACTTTGAAACAATGTCTGTCCGACGCAGTTGTGTGATAATTTTCGACTTGATGAAGATGCCGATATTTGATGATGAACAACAAATGCGTACGTAGTCTGTTGAAGAAATGAGCGTATACTCTCGCGACGGAAGAAATGATAGACGTCTGAAGTACTACCATGGGTTGTGGTTTGGTATCCGTCGTTCTTCCTGTCTCCTCCACCACTAAACCCGGCGGGGATTCTACCTTAGTACGCAACGAGTACTGTAGCACTTAAGAAAGTTCCCGCAGATTCTTGGTTCGGTTTAGTCTGATTGAAATGAAAGAGCACATATTTATGGGAGGCTTGTGTGAAATTTATTTTTAATGTCGAGTGTCTATGGGAAGTCATAAAAGTTTAACACATTATGAGGCAATGAGCTTTTCTATTCAAGAGTTTTATTCAACTAATATTTCAGCAACAGATGTGTTTCCAGGAAGACATTCGTCGCAATCCGGGCAAATCGTTTGCACTTGGGTTTGAACTCGAACACACGTATCGAACTTCAATATTGAAAAGATATCTATCTATCAACAGGCTGAAGCGAGTGTTCGTTCTGTTTGAATTGACATGAGACTGCCCTCCTGCGCTGGAATCTCCAGATTATTCACGTTCATACGGAAGGGCAGCTGGCAAGACTTCGTGTCTAGCTGAACTCAGGCGCGTGGGAAATCGAATCATATGGGCTCTGGGCTTAACACATATATATCACCCAAATAAGATGAGACGCACACCAAACAACTTCGGATGACCGTAATGATTTCAAGACCATTCAAACAATGGCTGCGGTCGCAAAGACGACTCGGCTGTATCAATTCCATACAACAATGAAGTCATTGTCACCAACTCGACCAAGTCTCACATGCACATAAAATGCACGCAAGGTGTGGCTATAAGACCCCACCCCTAGTAACGAAAAACCCCCCACAACGCAAACGCGTTTTCGCATGCATTTTATAGCCATAACCTATGATTATATATTGCTATACACTGCGATTTCTCTATAAATCTATAACTTTAATATATAATTTTATACTATCTTTATTATCTAATAATTTACTATTAATTAATACTACTTCTAGCTTAATTAGATAGTTCTATACTTCTTATTACTTTTTATAAATATCTTTAATAATTATAAAGTATTTATTTAGCTTTAGCTTAACTTATGCTTTTTTTTTTAGCTTATATTTTTTAATTTAAACTTCTAGTAATAGAATAACTTATTAGTTATCTATTATAGCTATATTATTAAGATCTAGATACTTACTAAGCTTCTTAAAGAAGAGTATATATTATATATTATTAAGGTTATTATTAATTTATACTAATAACCTTAACTTAATATAAAAAAGCTATTAAAACTACTATAAATTGCTATTAGTTTTTAGTATCTATATAATAACGCTATTAAGTATTTCTATAGCAATTAAAGCTTTTTTATATTATAAAGCTACTTTCTTTATATTTATTAGAGAGGTAATAATAAACTTACTTATTAGAGGTTTTACTATATTAACTAGCTATATTTTAGTTACTTTCTATTTAGATTTTATAGTTTTTAGCTTAAAGGTATCTTTCTATATATATAAATAGTATTATAAGAAGTTTTACTTATTAATAAGTACTAAGTTAAGTAGGTAGTTATATTCTTTTAGTTATTATTAATAAGACCTCTTTAGAAGTAAAAAAACTAATATATTAAGAAGCTATATAAAGTAGGATAAGTATATAGGTAAGTAAGCTAAGTATATATTATTTATATAGTATTTCTATATAAAGTTATTAAAGATATAGCTTTTATAGCTATTTATAATAAGAAAACGCTTTAAATATTATATTTTTAACTTTATAGCTATTAATAGGATAAATACTTTCTCTAACTATTTAATATTAATACTATTTAATATCTAGCTATTCTTTAAAGTTATAAAATACTATCCCTTAAAGTTATTAATATTCTAAGGGAACTACTACTATTAGATAGTTTTCTTTTTAAAAATAATAAGGAGGTAGAGATATTAACTATTTACTAAGATATACTTAATAATAAATATCTAAGTATATTCTTTTAAATTTTAGATAAAAATAGAAAGCTTCTTAGAATATCTTAGTATTAAATTATTTTATTATATCTTTTTTATAATTCCTATTTTATCTATATTTTATTAGAGGGATATAGGGATTTTTTAGACTTTTAGTAAATAAAGTATTATAAAGAACTCCTTTATATTATTAACTATAATATCCTTTATATATTTAGAGTTAATCTTATATATTTTTAGTGTTTTTATAGCTAGGTTTTAGAATAAGAAGCTTTCTATTTACTTCCTACTAAAAGGTTAAGAGTTATTAATAGTATATAGGATATAGGTAATAAAGTATCTAACTTATTAGTAGCTAAGTATAAAGTTTAGAAACTTTTATATAAGTATCTAAGTAGTTAGTACTAACTCCTATTTTTAACTAATATATTATTAGCTTTCTTTTACTTCCTTTCTTAATATAGTACTATAAAAGTATTAATAGAGGGTATAGTATAGTATACTTTATTTTTATATTACGTTTAATATATACTAACTTATATATACTACTATAATCGCACTAGCGATATATTTTTTAGTATAATTAAGTATAAAAAACATAATGCGATTTTTAAAAGATTTTATTTTTAATATAGTGGTGTGTAATGGCGTTACGCGTAAGGTTAATGTATGTAGTGTAGCATGTAAGTGGCGCGTTTTGACACGTTTGCGTTGTGGGGGGTTTTTCGTTACTAGGGGTGGGGTCTTAGCCGTAGAACGTGAGGTCCAACACCTTCGACCTTCACGACCACCTCGGTAAAAAAAGAAAAAGTGTCGTTCTGTCACATATCTCGAGTGATATGAGATGGATAAGGGCGACAAAACTTCGGTACGATTCCGCTATAGTCGTTATTTGATTTCATTGACCCTTCTGTAACAGACGTGGCCGCATGGACCAGCACTTTGAACCCAACATTGCATTGTCGCAATAAGACGTACATAGATCAATGAGAAGGAGGCCGTATGACAGGACTAGAATTCTATTTCATATCAAATATGATAACTGTGATAGCTGTGCTAGTTGCGATAGACTGGACATGAATCTTCTCGACGAAGGTGTAAGCTGCATATAAAACCATGGAAATTCGTTCTAACTTGAAGGACCTTGTACACATTACAACACTCAAATCACAAAACCTTCCTCTATTTACAACAGAACTGCAAACCGGGCTCCAGACCACTATCTTCAACTTTTAGAACCTACACGTCAGCAAGCAAAATGATTTCCCAAACTCTCGCGAAATTCCTGCCGTACTTGAGCTTCATGGTCGGTGCCTCCCTGTGGTCCAAATCCGGACGCAAGCCAGCCGACGACGCACTCATCATCTTCATAATCGGCGCGCCCGGCGCAGGAAAAGGCACACAGAGCACCTTCCTCGTCAAGCGCTTCGGCTTGCAACACCTCTCGTACGGGGACCTGATGCGCGGCCTGCGTAAGAGCGGGGACCCCGGGGTATCTGGACTGAAGACCAAGTCCGGCACTGACAACCCCAGCGTCCCCGATGACATGGGCGCCTGGTTGCTATGGCGGGAGATTCGCAACGGGGGACTCGAAGGTAAGGAGTTATGGCTCGTGGACGGCTTTCCTCGACGACCGGAGCAGGTTGAGGAATGGCTTCATTTACTGCCGCCCGCGGTCTTGACGTTGTACCTGAAGTGTCCTAAGGATATCTCCAAACGGCGTGTGGCATCCCGAGGCGAGAAGGCTGGGGTGGAAGCGAGACCGGAGGATTTGAACCCACAGACTGCGATGCGCCGGATTGATGAATTCCACAAGAATGTGGATTTCGTGGTGGCCAAGCTTGAAGAGAAGGGCATGAAGGTCTTTGAAGTGGATGCTCATCGCAGCCCAGTGGACGTTCAGAAAGAACTGGAGAAAATCATGGAGCCTCTGATTCAGTCAATTTCTTCGACTTAACGGCAAGGAGAGTTGTAGAAGGAAGTTAGCCATCCGCAGCTAGATTGAGAGCTTTAGACGTAGGAGTTCAGAAAGACGTGGTATGTAACATCCCAGAATAGTGTCACAGCTTCAGTTGTTCTATTCTTGTCGCGAGGTTGGTGAATTTTGGTCCACCAGCGCGCCAGCTCTTGTAATCAATATCAATCTAACCTAGCAAACTCTATGATGGCATAAGAGAACCTTGTCAGACCAGACTCGCTCTAGACCTTCGAGAGGCCTACTTTCAAGTTGAACCCGCTCGCAGCTCATGCAGATGCCTGATTATTTTGATTACCCTCTCTCTGTCTGAAAGGTCTTCAAAAGACCACTTGGCGCCTCTAAACAGTTTCAGACATGCCCATAGAGCCAAGAAGACGAAGATCTGCAATCATAGAGTTAGCGACATAAAACCCCACAAGGTGATTGTCTCCTTACAGCGAGATACGCCGACAAGAATGGCAAGATGTTGAAGCTTTTCCATAGCGCTGCGCCATTAGAGACCAGTAGCAGAAACAAACAGCTGATCAGGGCCATGTAGGCTAGGAATGGCTGCCCGTGGCTTCGATAGGGATAGTCGCTTCTTTCGTAGTTCCAGCGCTGGACTTGAGCAATCTTTCGGCTCTCAAGAGCACGCCGGTGCTTGTCGATGCTACGTCAAGTTAGATGACCGAATTTACATCAGAAAGAGGGCACATACCAATGATAGTACCGAATAAAAGCCAGGCACTGACATGCCCAAACAATAACAACACCAGCAGAGCCCATCTGGGCTAGAATCTCGATAAACTACGCAAGAAAATTAGTTGATTGCTCTCACTAGACTCCGGAATATGTATGTGGGTGACAAACCATGCCGATGGGAGTATTTGTGTCAGTGCCTCCTGAAATCTGGAGGAAAGGCACCCACCAGAACGCAATTGCCGAGAAGACCATTGCCCTCAATGGCACCTTGCGTCTGTTCGTTCGTCCGAACCAAGCTAGGATTCTCAGCACCCATGGTTGCCCGGCACCTCCATCCAAGCGACTCGTCAAGCCAAAAAGACTTCGTGAAGCAACGTAAAGGTTCGTGTTAGCGCATGTGAGCGCTGTGAAAACCAGAAAGAAGTTGAAAACATGGTCCAGAATCCGGGCGTTGGACCGGCCGGCGATGACCACAAAAGCGGAGGATGTTGCGCTTTTGTGGTGGGCCCTGTCCTCCTCAGAGTACCAATTACAGGAAGTGGTGTTCTTAACCCAGCTAAGATGCGGAAGGGCGCAATCATCGGGCCTAATGTTCAAGGAGACGAGCATGCCGCTGAGGGTATATGCCACGCCTACAAGCACTGATATAAAAATGGCCGAGAACTTGACGGTGCGTCCGATGAGAGTTTCAGCATTTGATGGTCGGGATTCAGCAGCTGAATTTTCTTGGGACGGACGATGACGAGGTTCTGGCCATTTCGCTTCCAGGGCTGACGCTGCCACTATCTCGACGCCAACATAGGCAAACGCTGCGATTGATAGAGACATTCTGTTAAGTCTAGTCAGCGGGAAATTCAGAGGAAATTTTGATGGCAGACCAACAGAAGAGCAACGCCCCAATCTGGTGCTGCGTCGGCATCATACTGGAAGGGATCCTTGAAAACTGGAGTTTGGATTAGACATATGACCATAGCGTATGATAAACAAACTAACTAGGTACGGCCTCTCCGCCTGATGCAGAACCTGTTGAGGAGGTCATGAGTTAGCGCTGTTGAGTCGATCAATGCCGGAAATGAGATGTACCTTCTCCAGTGATAGCAATGAGAGCCACCACGATGACGATCAGAAAGGCGATCTTGATGCCTCCTGTGACCACTTCAACAAGCCCATATATCTAAAATGATGTGAGATGAGCATGGTAAGACGACCAGTAACTACTTACTTCAATGCCGAACGCGTTTACAAACACCATCATGATGGGAATCAGAACATAAACAATTCCTACTGATAGACCTTGGTTCGACTGGTCTATCCAAAAGTTCATCAACGCAGAGCTAGTTGCAATGAGCGCAGAGAAGCTGACGGCGTACGTAAACCTTACGCGGGTTAGTATCATCAAACTCAATCTTGAGGCGATCTTAAGGTTGGATGGATTCGCTTACCAATATGCAACGCCAACAGCGATCCCAAGCTCGTGATCCACAAAGGTGCCAACGTAGACAGACAGCGCACCTGGTACAGGCCAGATGCATAAGAGCTCCGTGACGCACTGCATGACAGCCCAAGCTAGGAGACCAACGAGGACGAAAGAGAACAGGACAGCGAGAGGGCCGCCAATTTCAAGAATCTGACCGCTTCTCCAGTAGAGGCCTGTTCCTAATGTTCCATTAATGGTGATCATCTTGAAGAATGTCAGCATACTACAATCAGATGCAAGATGAGCTACATTGACACTTACAAATAGGTGTATCCCCTTCAACTTTCTCTTGACAGTGCGGTCCGGCTCTGGCTTCACTAGAACCTCAATTGGGGGTCGCTCGGTAAAGCCCTGGTTCTCATCAGAAGTTTCGGATGGCCCATAATCACTAGCATTTTGACGGATAAGAACGTTGGTGGAACTTTCGGGAATTGCGCTCGGCGACAGAGGTGACACGACCGGCCCCATTTCCGTGGAACCGCGAGGTATCCAGTCCGGTATCCAGTCCGGAGTGGGGCGGATGGCCCCGTTCGGGTCCGTCCTCATCGGCATCACAGCAAATGAGAACTACACCTTTACATGTAATCGCAAAACGCCTGGCTTATGGCAACACAAATAGGATGAAGGAAGAAGTCATGCGAATTAAAATCCAGCGTGGCCGAAATGCTCAGGTGTTTTGACAATCTTTCGCGATCTAGGAGGTAACCGTAAATTCGCAGCCTGTAGCTGCCTTCCCGCCAGGCGCAGGGCAAACATCCATCAGCCAAACATGTCTTATGTGGGTTTTTTCTACTTCTAGGAGGTTACAGAGGGCTGGAGCATCAGCCACAGTTAGGCTTCCGCCCAGAGATCGTCTTGGAAGGGTTGGGGCTGGGGCTGTGACCGCCTTGTCTTGGGCGGTCTCGACCTCGGCCTGCTAAGAACTGACCTCATACATCTTTAATGAGCCCTAAACTCGTATTCTACAAGGGCATATTCCAGAATGAGGCTGCCAACTGTATGTCTTATCCATCATCACCTGCCTTCTCACCTTCCTTATCGGGTTACCTCCGGCATGCTACATGACATGACGGCACATGTTTGCTCCCGCCGCATTCCCGAGCATGCTCTTAGCCCCGATGTACTAGACAATGGAGAATAATAAATAACCCGAATTTGGAAGGCCAAACAGTCTGCACATCTCGGGCCCGAGCCAGATGGGTCTGAAGTGTTCTGGGCAAACATCTTACTGCGGCCGCAGAGGCAGCATATGCTTGCCTGCAGGTGCCAGGAGGTGTGTTCAGCTCGGAGTCGAACCACCTATTATTCGCCAAGGTCTGGTGTCACACACTCCATCTACTGTCACAGGACTGGTGCGCGAACCGCGGAAGCAGTCCTAGACACAGTCAGAGTAGCAGCCTGGGCCTTCGGTGACGTGTCGTTTGTCAGCGGTTTGCTACCGAACAAAAGTGTGCTCTTCTCCTGCCACTGCATTGCTACCAACAGCGACTGGCGACTTATTTGTATCGGTTGATTCTCTAGAATCGTGGTTATCTCTGTGCACCACACTACCCAAACACGCAATAGCCGAGGCGCATTTCAACATGGGCCAGGTTGAGCAAAACGTTGCTAATCGGTATCTCAAGAAGGCCAGCCTGCAGAGACTCCTTGAGAGGCTCTTCCCGGGGCAGACTGAGTTCAATATTGAAGTATGCCTTGCCGCCAAGCCCCTCCCTTACCCCCTCCTCTGGATCCCTGTCAGCTGAACCGTAGCCTGCAGATGAGGGATGACGTTTGGCACTTCAAGGCACCAAAGGAGGTCGACAGCGTATGTCAAGCACGCCCATGGCTCAAAAGTATAAGATGAAATGGAATTTCACTGACTAGTGTCACCTGTAGGCTGAGATTGAGTAAAGAAATAGCCCGAGGTAGACTCGCGTGGTTCGACGATTGCTAATGAAAATTTTGCAACCAGTGCCATCCTCGATAAATGAGGTGATTGAATCCCGAGAGCCTCCGGTCGGCAGTGCCGATCTAGCGGTGGCAGGGCATGTAAGCGCTGGAACATAGGTTGGGCGCATTACTCTTGGGGTACATAGACAGCCTGCTGAGGTCGGGAAGTACATATGAGCACCTATGTATGCAGAGGATCACAGGACTGTATTTTCTGTTAGTTTTACATCGTAGAATCCTCAGTTATTGTCTACCATTGCATCAATAATGGCATCGCTACAACAATGTTTTGTCGACGAAATCATCGAGCCGGTCAAACTGATTGAAGTCACACCTTCTTCGGATGAAGATTGCAAGAGCGACCTGGCTATTCATGAGTTCTTGGATCCGCAGGGCCTGAGTTCGTACATGGAAGATGGCCGAGACAGAGACTTCACCTATCGCTTCATGTACGCGATCGAGCTTCACCACCTTGTTAACTCACTCACATTGTTCCTAGATCGATATGCCAGCGCAACTCATGGAGACCGCTGCAGATTACCAAGCCGATGATGAAGCTACTAAAAGACGGCTTTGAACTAGGCGACTCGCTATGGGAGTTGGCATCATGCTTCTACGTCCGGAACATGGACGTCGAAGAGGTTTTCTGCATGCCTTTCACGGAGCGAAGAACTGGGCCCGTAGTCGGTACGTTATATCCAGCCCGAGTGATGAAGAATCCATCCTTCTGACACTTCCATCAGAGGCGGCATACACCATTCGATACCCCGAATTCAAGCCGGAGAGCAACAAGTGGGTCATTAGACAGACCGGTGTCTATCATCGTACCAATTCCAAGACAAGCCAAAATCTCTGCATATTGTTCAACCCGATGCCCGGTGCGGAGGCAAACCAAAAAGCTCAAGACTGGCTGTTCGACCATTACAGAGATACCGAGTTCGATCCTGTGTGGCTGCACAGGGTTCTTCATGAAACCTTTTTGCCATCGTGGAGGTCTTACATCGCCTACTATGAGCGGCAATTCTTACCCATGGTCAGAATCTGAAAAGAGAACGAAGCGGCCTGGCGAAGAACGATGCTAACTCAAATTAGGCGCTTACAACATTCGCAACTTTCATAGAGGAGCCGTCAACGCAAAAGTCAAGTCACCTTACGACACTGGCCAGCTTAGAGAATCGCTTCCTTCAGGTACCCGCCATCCTTGCTTCCGCAGAAGATGTTCTCAAAGAATTGTCTGAGCTGTGCAAGTTGTGGCGAAATGACAAGAACCAGGGGGCGGCTAGTCTCTCGTCTGTAGACTTTGAGAACTTCCGGCGCCAATGTGGTGCTTTCTCTCGAACGGCTTCCTACCTACATCAACGAGCCCAGACGACAGCCCAACTCCTCGCCAACACGTTGTCTTTCCGAGAACAATTAGACACAAGAAAGCAGAATGAGAACATGCTGAACCTCAATAAGTCGGTGGTCTTTATTACTACTCTGACCTTGCTGTATCTACCGCCATCGTTCATTGCTGTAAGCCTTGCTCCTAACTCCGAGTACCAGTGAAAATCATTTGCTAACGTCTATAGACCTTCTTTGGTATGAACTTCTTCGACCTGGACGACGAGAACAACAGGATTGTTAGCACATCGATGATCTGGATATACGTCGTTGCTTCGATTATACTTACTGCTGCTACATTCATCATCTACCACATGCTCCTGGAGGGAGGTCCCTTTGGCAAGCGGAAGATGGTCTTGCCCAAAGCGGGCGAATGGAACCAGCTGAAGATATGGGTCCGGAAGAGAAGCACATTTGCCGAGAAGAACGCCCTTGCTGTTTGATTGTCAACTTTTCTAGGAAGAGCGAAATGTTGATGAGGGTAGTAGACCGGAGAGAATGATCTTGTGTATCGCATAACGGTTCCCCTCAACGAGCGCAGCCACCAGAACGTGACGATTGGCCTCCACGTCGACTAGCCTGACCGTGAACTCATCGTAATCAGAAAGCCCGGGGAGTTGTACCAGCTCTCTTAAGCCGACGGGCTCCTTCGTGTTCGGCATACTGATCTCCAGTAGAATGATTCTGTGGCTCGCTCGTTTTGTTCCGAAAGCTAGGAGCTTGTCGTCCTTCTGGTTTACCATGATCTTCAGAATGCGATATTTGTCAATGATCTTGTGCAGTTGGCTTGGCCTGTCTCTGCCCAGAGCATTGGGGAAATCAAGCCTGTACAGATGTCTTTCTCGAGAGACGACTACACAAGATGTTTCGCTGTGAAGTTCGGAGAGGGCCGTGAATAGAGGAGCCGTGTTGCTGTCGAGCCCCTATGATTGTGTGATCAGCAACCTGCAGTACTAGGTAATAGAGCAACTTTGCCGCGTTGATTGAGTACTCACTTGCGGTATTAGATCGACTCTATTAATACTCTTAGTCTTGAAAGAGAAGTGGACGATGGACACTTTGTGTATGTCGTGCTTCGTCAGCTCGGGCCGTGCCACCATGTATCCATCGGTTTGATTGCGGAGTGATATGCTGATGATATCTTCAGCCGGCCAGCTTAGTTTTAACGGCGGTTGAAAATTCAGAGGCGTGTTGGCCCTGTTTGAATCCCAACTCGCACTTTCGGGGTCGACTTTCTGTCTTAACACAAGTCAGTCATAGATGGCGTTCAGTGGAAGGAACCACTCACCCAGAATCTACCAGATCTAAGATCCGTGCTTGAAATAGAGATCCTGGAAGCCTCTCATTCTCCATGTTCTGAAGTGTACAAATGATTACTTGATGATCTGCCGAAATGGCCAAGTTGTTGACTTCGGGATACGGTAGCGACACATGATAACATGTGTTCAAATCTGCATTGACAGACTCTCCTGCTTCAAGGTCAAATATGTAACACTTGAAATAGGACGTTAGAATTATTCAATTGCTTGAAAAGTGTTCATAGTACGTATAGTGACTTACGTTGAATGTGCCGCCGGTAGTCGTGGCAATCAAGTATCTCTCAGTCAAAGCCACCGCTTTCCAAAAGAAAGCGGACCCTCCAAGGGAGAATCTTCCCGCTGGACTCAACATCTCCTCACCCTCAGGTGGGGCAGAAAGGGAAGTAAAAAGTACCAGCCGGTAATCACTCCAGTAAACCAGCATAGTCCCATTGGGCGAGATCTTGCAGCTTTTCATTGTGTCGTAGGCGTCCTGAGCTAGACGCCACTGCTGAATTGAACGATCGCCTGTAGGTCTCGCCTCGGGTGATTTACTCCGGATTCTGAGCACATGTTAGCCGATTAGCACTGAGTATTGCTGATTTATTTGATATCTCACCTCTCTATTATTGAAAGTTTCCTTGGTTTCTTGGGCTCTTCAGGAATGGGAGAGCTTTCAAGGTGACGATATGCATCCATCGCTTCTTTCAGAGCGTTTTCGACGTCTTTTGCCGTACATCTCTTATCCTGGTCGAGATTGAGAGCTTTATGCTCAAGGAAGCTGAGGATTGTGTGAACCAGCTTTTTCTCTCGTGAGCTTCGTGTGCCGGCTTTATTGGTAAGCTGGTGGTGCCAGTCTACGACTGCATGGTGGAGCGCAAACTTTCCAAACGACTTCTCCCAGAAGAATCCATCGAATCCATCATCCGACCCTTTACGATCTTTCAGTCGGTCAATTGTGTACTGAGTGACGCTATCTGCGCCACCTTCAAGATAAGCAAAGAGAACGCTTAGTACGCAGCCAAGAGACCAGACATCGCTCTTAGTGTTCATCACTTTTCCAGTGAGGAAGGACTCTCGAGGTAAGTAAGTTCCTTGTCCTCTCCTATTCCGTGTTCCCGATGGAGCATCTTCATGCAACTGTGGTCTTGGTCTGAACCATACGCTAAAGTCTCGCTCTTCGGGTTCAGCATGATTTCTCCGCCGGATCTTCACCCGCGACATGCCAAAGTCGCTCAGCTTCCAAATTTGTCGATGCTCTCGATCTTCGGCTGGAAACACAAGAATGTTGCTGGGCTTTAAGTCCATGTGATAGCAGACAACATCTTCGAGATCCGAGGTTTGCAATTCATGGTGGAGAAAGTTAAGGCCTGTAGCAAGCCCCATGGCGGAGCGAATCAGACTTGCCCTGACTTTTGGTGTCTTGATGGAAGTTGATATGTCTTTTTTCATGTAGGCGCCAAGGTCGCATATTGCCAGCGGCATGAACAGACTGTATGTCGGCGGATGGTCGGCTCCTAGGGGCGATTCGACGCGTAGAGAGCCAAGATTCTCCAGAATGTTCTCACAGGTCTTTGAGGCGCTGAGGATCATCTTCATGACGTTGCCCTCATCTTGAGAACTCATGTCGCTGGGCGACTGAACGATGTAATCCTTACGCGCCACCCTTCGTGGCTTATTTGAGATCTCATCGGTATGGTGATCCTCAATATGACCTCGGGCGATCTTGACCATGTAGACTTTCCCGAACGATCCTGAACCTAGTAGCTTCTCCTCCAAGTAGGGAAGTCGCTGGGTCTCGGAGTCATGAACGATGACTTCTTCTCTTTGACTGAGCACAACGGTGCAAAATATTGCCTGCGAACCAAAGAAGACATCTGCATCATTTGAATCGCATCCCATGAAAAATTCTCGTAGACTTTCGCGATCCGCTGGGAGAGAAGCAGCATCCTTGATATGCGGCTGCGATTGCTTGACAGACCAAATGTCTGTAGTAGCCAGCTTGGTCGTGAAAACTCTGGCAGCATCGATACTGCAGCCGCCAAATGCAATGATAGCTATGAAATTATGTAGGCGTCTTTTTTTAATATTCCGAGTAAACTCGTCTTCTGAGATCGAGAACTGGCCGTCGTTGATGCTTTGAAAAAACAGTCGAAGGTAGTGAGATTCCAGCACATTGGCTGCTGTATCCCGAGTGGCGAATCGAAACTTGTCCGAGTTCTTCCTCTCCAGATTGTCCAAGAGGTGGCGACGAATGTCGCGGCATAAGTCAGTGTACTCCTGGGAACCCATCGTTCGCGCGGGGATACCCAAGCCGTCGGAACGGCTTGCACATGGCCCCAGGCGATGATCGTACAAAGAGAATGGCGTGCTAGATTGAAGTGAGATGCGAATGGTTCGCAGAAGTAAGCATGAATGGGATTCCTGGGACAGAAATGGACTGTTGGGGCGCAGTAGTTCGGCCCAATAGCAGCAGGGGTAAATCGTGATTGATTGGGTACGGGGCAGCGCCCGCAGGCCTCACTTTAGAGACATCTGCAGGCCGCTGATAGTTGCAGAGTAAGGCAGACATGGCTGCGCCTCTGAGGAGAGAGCCTTCCCAACCATCTGCCTGCTGTCGCATCGCGATCGACTGTTTGCTTGGACTGGAGCATGATGCATCTAGGCCCTTCGAACCCTTGGCGGAGTGATCTTGAAATATTGAGTCTGGGAACCCCCCCGGCCTCCAAGAGAGATTAGTGTGTCAGCAGGCCTAGCCCGCTGACACCTCCCAGGCCTTCGACGGCACTTTGCACATTCCGTGCAGTGGAGCACTCTACCGAGACGTCACCGGCTCCGTGCCGTGTCCGACAAAGTGGGACCATGGCAGAATCGGCGCCGGAGCGGCTCCGGTGGGTTTATGCTTGTTCTGTGCTCCAGATTAAAACAAGATCTGGTCGAAGTCCCAAAAAGCAGAAGACGACAATGCAATAACAGAACGTCCAATCTGTCTATGGATGCTAAAGCAAGGGACTGCATCTAGCCGTCGGCGATCTGTGCTGCATAATATTCGCTGGCCATGGGTTGACAATTGAATTGAAGGCTGCGTGCGTGAGCTCGTGCGATAGTAATTGAACTTGATGATGCTCACCGCGAGTTTTGGGGTCAATTGAGACAGGGGGCGGAAGACCGGCACCTCTCCCATTCATTCGTTGAACAGGCCAAGCTTTGGAAGATAGACTCTCGGATAAGCAACTCCTGTAATCGTTGGTTTGGTTTCTGTCCTACGTGCGGCTTGTTTCCGAGTCAAGGAGGGGGTTACTTTCCCCTTTTGTTCTGCGACTTCAAGGGGATCGGTGCATGGTTTACATGAGTCACATTCGCTTGATTGCCCAGTCATCGGCGATATGAGAGATAAGGCGCGCCCATCGTTTGACATCGGACACTACGCGGAATCCTTTTTTGTGTTGTCATACAGCAAAGGTTAATTACTCCTACTTTCGATTGACGTTTGTAGCCGTACCCAAACAACGCCGACAATGCCATTGAGCTCAGAGATCCAGCGGTCAAGGTCCTCTGAGGAGCCGGTGGGATATCCTCGGCACGAGACTGCCGATCCCGAGAAGAAGAGCGCGCTGGACGGCCTACGAGACGATGAATCATTGCAATCTCCTCCAGAAATATTGACATTTCCCGATGGAGGCGCACGAGCTTGGTTGCAAGTCGTCGCTTGCAACATCACAAACCAAATTTCGTGGGGTTACCCCTCTTCATACGGCGCCTATCAAGCCTACTACACAACAACGCTGGGCCTGCCGTCAGCCCAAGTCTCGTGGGTAGGCTCGGTCCAAATATTCCTGGCTTTCGGGATCTGTGCCTTTTCGGGACGATTGGTCGATGCTGGCTACGGAAAACATGCTGTCATCGGGGGCTCTTTCATGGCCGTGACGGGTACGCTTTTGACCAGCTTCTGCACCAAGTACTGGCAGATCTTCCTAGCACAAGGGTTGTACACCGGTATCGGCATGGGTATCATGTTCATGCCAGGAATTGCCATTGTGGGGTCGTACTTCAAGCAACGAAGAACATTAGCGCTGTCAATTGCGAATGTGGGTACTGGACTTGGATCGGTCACGTTTCCGACGCTTCTCAACTACACGATACCTCACGTCGGATTCCCATGGGCAGTCAGATGCCAAGCACTCATGATGCTTGTCCTCGCCGTCATCGCCTGCACACTTCTCAAGCCTCGCCTCCCGCCGAGAAAGTCAGGGCCAATCCTGGAATTGGAGGCATTCAAGGAAAGAACTTACTCCTTCTTTGCTGCGGGCTCTTTCTTCTTCTTCCTTGCACTTTACTTCAGCTTCTTCTACGTAAGTAAATCGTGTTTACAGATGTCGATCTCTTGGAGATTAGGACCAGGGAAATTAACAGCCTCCAGATCAACACCTTCGCTCAGGTCGCTATCGGACTTTCATATACGGACTCAGTGGCACTTCTTCTGATTCTCAATGCTTCTGGAATTCCCAGCCGTGCTCTGGCTGGCATCCTAGCAGGATACGTCGGCGCGATCAACACATTCATATTCAGTAACGGGCTGGTGGGTGTGATGTACTTTGCGTGGATCGGAGTCCGCAACAGGCCTGGTTTGTACGCGTTATCTGTCATTTTCGGCATCGCCAATGGCTTCGCACAAGGTATCTTCACCCCAGCTCTGGCGAGCTTGACGGAAGACCCTCAGAAGATGGGAGTTCGCTTCGGCATGGTTGCGACAATTGTCGGCGTGGCATCCTTTGCAGGCCCGCCTATCGCCGGCGCTATTGTTGACGGAACTGGAAAGTACATTTGGGCGCAGATTTGGGCTGGAGTGGTCACGTTTTTGGCATGTCTCTTCCTGGCTGCTGCTAGGATAGCTGCTGTTGGATCCGCATGGACGGCGAAGGTGTGAAAGCAGCGCGGGACATAGCACGGGACTGCCATACAACATATTTCTATGAAATAGAGTTCAAAACTCAATCTGTACTGCTCCTTACAAAACTACTAGAAATGTTCGGCTGTTAGTTTCAACCTTAGCTCTTAGCCCAAGCCTTCTCAAGAAGCTCTTCAACTGTAGTCAGGCGCAGCTCAGGAAACATGTCATTCAGGCGGCCCTCCTTAGGCAAGGCACAAACACCGCTGACAACCATGAGACTGAATGCAACTGTCATCTGCTTCAAAAGCGCCACGGGGATGCCGCTCGACTCATCGGGAATCGACACCAAAGTTGCATCCCCGTTCTTGAGCTTCTCTACATCGTCATAGATCACATCGAACTTGGCGTCTGGGCTTGTGTCAGTCTGGCGATCTCAAAGCTCGCGCTATTTTACAGGCCCATTACTCACCGTGATACTTCTCGAGAAGGGCTATTATTTCGTTGAAAGTAGCGTCTGTGCCGCTGATTGAGGCAGTCCTGGGCCAACTAGGTTCGTCAAGAAGGCGAACAATGAAGCGGGCGAGGTCAATGGTGTATGTCATACTCATGACATCGTTTCCTGTTCCCGGAACAACTGCTTTCTTGAGAGACATGTCGATGCCAGGGCTGAACGGCATCATGTAGGAGTGGACGTTGGGCATGGCCCAGTAGTCCATGAACAATCCTGCATAGATGCGAATGTACTCCAGGCCTGAATTCTCGATCGCGTTCGCATTCGCCAGGCGGTATTGCTCGCCAAAAGACTCATTGAGGTTACTGTTTCGGTTAGTTCCGGGTATCTCTACAAGACTTCTTCAGTGGCCTTACTTCTTGTCAACAGGCGTGAAATACTCGCTGGGAACAAAGCGTTGAGTCGTCTTCGACTTATCAGCAGCCGCGATGAGGTTGATCTGAGCGTTGCTAGATTTCTCAGACTCCGGGTTCAGGGCGGAAATAACAGTGTCGATGTTGTGTTCTTCAAGGATTTTGATGAGAGCGTCGACATTTTCGTAGTCTACTTCGAGAAAGGAAGGAGCACCCGGGAGAGCGGGGGATGGAGACTTGAAAGACATCAAATCAGCTAGTATCCAGTGAATGATACAGATTTAAAGGCTGGTTTAATAGCCCCTGTGAGTAGTATCAATCATCACAATGTGTGTAGTTACCTTGCGCCCCAGCACGAAGAACTGCTGTTTTCCGCTGAGCTGCAACTGCTCCACGATGGCTCTGCCAACTCCACCCGTGCCTCCAGCGACAGCAACTATGGCCATTTTGAAATAAAGCTTAGATGAATAGAAAACGCGAAAGTGGTGGTTACAGGACGGTGGTAATTGTTGTGAGTTGTTCGGCTCTGCATTCCAGTGGTTTCTAGTTGTAGGTGAATCATCTTTGTTTATATGACTTTCGGTGAATGCTGGTAGCGGCTTTGAATCGACACGCAAGTCTGGACAGATCATTCATCTCAACGATTTCGCGGAGCGGAGCGGAGCCTTGGGTCTCTCCGCACTTCATTCATCGGCGTTGGGAACGCGCGGGATCCGCACCCGAAGGCCCGTGACTAGCTCCCGAGATTTTCGACCGCCGGCCGGTCTCCGCACCGGGGTGATTGAGAACCCCGATGAATCAAGTATGACAACATAAGTTGCAAAGACTCATATTCTGAATCAGGCTACTGCGAATGTGATTGTCCCTGAACTCAATAACTGGAACTCATCCTTCCCCGGACCTAATTCAAGTGTCAGCTTGCGGGTCCCCAAACCGGCACCTTCCGTTTAACTCCGGCAATTTGATGACACTGGGTCTCTTCCCTTTTGTTCAGGTGACTGAATGGCCGCACAGATCCGCAATGCCAAGACCCCATGCAGGTGTCGTATTCACTCAAGTTGCTGTTGATTGCGTATTTGTAGCTATTAAATAATTGCATGCTCAAGCGGCAAGCCGGACAAACCAAAAAAGAAAACAGCCAGGAAACGTGTGAAAATTGAGTAATCAATTCGTATCTATTTTGTGTGCCAACCATCTATATGCAAACGCCTTGCTATGCTACTTCCCCTGAGACCCGTCGCCCTATCGCTGCTAAATGCTTTGAACCAGCCCGAACACAAGGAAAAGAAATCCAAAAAACGCCATGATATGCAATGTTCAAGTCCCCTTATGAGACTTAAGAAGTGTAGCCGGCAGCGGCGTCAGCAGCAGTAGCCTCAGCAAGCTTAGCGGTGCCGACGGAGACGGTGGGGATCCAACCCTGGGGGTTGACATCGGTGCCGGTGGTGGCAATCTCCTCGCCAGTGGCGTTGACACCGATGGTGATGTAGCCGACCAGGCCGTCCTCAATGCTGTCACCGAGAAGAGAGACGCTGATGAAGGGGTTGTAGCCGTCCTCGCTGGCGCTGGACAGGACAGAGTCCTCGTCGTTGGTGGTGCGGTTCAGGGTCTCGAGGTGAGAAGAGTAGGGGCTGACGGCGTAGACTTGGGAGAGCAGGTCCTCCTCGAAGAAGAGCTGGCCGACGTGCTGAATGGCGCTCTGGCTGTAGGAGATACCGCTGGAGGCGTTGGCCTGGACGGCGACGTGGATGTGGGTGGAGCGGGAGACGTAGTAGCCGGGGAACTTGGTCAGGAACTCGATCATGCCGTTGGAGTCGGAGACCTGGACGCCGCGGAGGAAGGTCTCGTCGTCGGTAGTACCGTCGGAGCGCTTCTCCCAGCCGTCGAGGAGCTCGGAGGTGTCCGGGTCGATGCCCGTGAAGGAGGCATATGATCCGGTGGCGTTGCAGTGCCAGATGGAAGCGGAGGCACCCTCCAAAGGCTCACAGGTGTTGATGTCCATGACGCCAATGTCGAAGTAGAAGTCGATGCCAGGCTGGGACTCGCGGAGGTCGTGGCGGTTCATCTCACCGTCGACGCCGTAGGGGCCGAAGATGGTCTCGGGGGCCAAGAGGCAGGTGTTGTTCTGGATGGAGGTGTACTGGAGGGTGTTGCGCTTGGACATGCCGTGGCTGCTGGGGACGATGTCGCCGTTGGCGACGCGGCGCTCGTAGAGGCGCTGGGAGCGCTTGGCGATGATCTCGGCCTTGCGCTTCTCAATGGCGGCGGCACACTTGTTGGTAGAGCGACCAGCCAGGGCAGCCTCGCGTCTGATGTTCTCCTTGGTCAACTTCTCGGGGTGAGCGAAGACCTCGGTGGCCGCCAGGGAGAGGGCAGTAAGAGCGAAGGTAGTGAACTTCATTGTTGCGGTTGGCTGGAAAAGAAAAACCTCAGATGAAGTTGTTGAGACGGTTACTGGAGGAAGTGGTAAAAGTGAGAGTGGTTAAGAAGTGATTGATAGAGGTAGTGAGTGAGTGAGTGAGTGAGTGAGTTGTGAATGTGAGTGTGATGAGGATGCTGAATTGAAAGATTACTTTGTCGCGGAGAACCCTTCTTTACTTATACAAAATCCCTTCATCTTGAAGTCGTCATGGTCTATGAGCCTCGTTGCTAGCCTCTACAGTCCAGCCTCTGCCTTACGCCTCCTATCGCATGACGCCTAATTACGACCGTCCCCTGTACCGTCGGTGTTGTCCCGATAGAGTGCTGTGGGTATTGCTGCGGACGGTTAACTGGGGTGACGATTCGTAATTGACTGACGTCCCATTGGCCGACCAGCTGTATTCTCGACCTGTAGAGGCTCTCCGTGTGGCCCAGAATAGAGTGTGGTAGTAGCTTAGCATGAAATTCTACGGGCAGAATGGTAAGGGGCCGGTATAAGCCATCCGGGAGGTGGGAGGCCAAGCCGTCGGGAGGTGGGATTCGGACCCGCTCCGCGGGACTCAGCCCACCGGGGACCGGGCCCATTCCCTACCGGAGCCGAAAATTTGGACCTCGGCGACCACGAAAAGCCTCCATCGCCATCATCTCACTGACGCGTTTCCCGGTCTTACGTGACCTCGAGGCGGAATTGGCGATCCTCCTTACTCTATCCAAAATAGACGCGCCCCTCATGCACCAAGCTTTTATATGAAAGGGGGGCCTTATGGGACGAACTTTTGACAGCCAACAGGTGTAAACGTCTGATTTTTTTGCGTCTGATGGCGTATGCTGTAAGGATCTGTTTGAAGCCCAGGCATTTTGTAAGTCCAAAGGGTTCTCTGGGGTCATCGATGTGAATGGCATCCTGGCGTAACGGCATTTCCGTCTGTGCTACCATGGCCTGCCCTATGGTCCATAGGGCTAGTAGACAGACCCAAGAGCCCCTTCGACAATGATACGTTGATTTTTTGATGTTGGAATCTTTCTCGAATGGAGTCGCGTTGGCTGTAGCGTTGCCTTTTTGAGTCCAAATGGGCAAGTTTCCAGAAAGGGGATGTAGATGCTTGGCATAATGGCATAACAGCCACATGGTCGCACAATTCTTCTCAGTCGGCCTGCAATAATTGCGATTACTCTGATGTACCTTCCATCGACCGTTTCGAGGCATTCTAGCCAGCTCCATAGTTTGGCGATGCGTGTTGAACGACGCGTCGTCATAACATCCGGTGGGATGGATAGGCTGAGTAGCGTACGTAACTGTTACTAGCACCAACAACCACACATTCCCCAAATTTGCCCTACGACGGAAGAAAAGAGCGTGGAGAGTGGCGGAGTAAGTGATAACGCCCAATTGCATTTCACTACATCAACGTGATAGGATAGCCGTAGAGAACGGAAGCACCGTGATTGGCGGGTAGCTCTCTCCCACACCGAGTTCACCCTTGTGAGCAATCAAACCGAGGAACACCGTTGTACGTCTCCATCTCTGGGACGGAAGACTCCGATGGCACATATAGGACGAGGATAAATACGAAAGCCCAACGCCAAGTTTAAAAGGAGTCTAGAACCCGGTAGCAGACTGACTGCGCTCAGAATGGAGTGAAACCTGAGGTTACAGGAGTGCGGATCTGCACACCAAAGCCTTCACAAAATCCAAGAGGGCCCCCTCATGTCACGATCAATCACACAAACACCAATAATTTTCTTTGAAGAAAAAAAAGTGAATTAGCAGAGCCGAACTAACTATCTACTGCTAGAAGAAAAGGTTGTCTGATGACAGGTGGCCATCCAATTAGCTGCCCACCAGGGGTCTTGAGCCATCAGAATCTCAAAATCCGTCCAAAGAAATCTGGTCGCTTAAGCCTCGAAGTCAACCTCGCGCTTGGCAGCAGGAGCGGCGGCAGCAGCGCCAGCGGGAGGGATCTGGATGGCCATGACGCCACCGAAGGGGCCGGCGCCGTTGTTGTTGGCGATCTTGACCAAGCAGACGTTCTGCAGGTTGCCGGAGGTACCCGTGCACTGGGTGCCGTCGGGGACGGAGAAGGCCATGGGCTGTGGAGAATGGAATGTTAGCCGCTGGTTCTTATCAATTTGCACAGCATAGACATGAGAGTGTTACTTACGAAGTCCTTGTTGACGTTGGCAGCACGCTTGTAGATGGCACGCTCGAAGAGGTCACGGGCGTTCTTCTGGCCGGGGACCTGGCCGTTGGGCCTAATGTTTCCGTTGTTGCCGGGAACGTTCTGGGTGGCGGTGAGCTCGACGCCGTTGGCGAAGGAGCCGGTGCCGGTGGGGTCGAGGACAGCGCGGAGAGGGCCGGCACCGTCGGTGGTGACGACGTGGAAGGTTCCGGAGATGCTGCCGCCGGTGGAGGAGACCTGGGGAAGGGTGCCGCCGGACATGGCGTTGGCGGCGTCGATGTCGGCAACCTGGACCTTGCCGTTGCCGGTGGTGCGGCCGAGACCGTCGGTCATGATGTTCTTGCTCTTGAAGACAGTGGTGTCGACTTCAGTCTGCATTGCAAGGTGGTTAGCGCGCGTTTAATTGGCGTGAATACTGTTGTAAATAGACTAACCTTCCTGTTGGGGCCGGTGAGAGGAACAACGCCGCCCTGGTTGGCCAGAGCAGTGCCGTTGCCGCCGAGGTTGCCAGTCAGAACGACAGGCTTGCCGTGGGCGGCGACCAGGGGAGCGGCTGCGAGAGCGAAGAGGAGGGTCTTGGAAACCATTTTGATTGATTGAACGTTGGACGTTGAAAAAAGGATTTTGAGTTAATTAAAGATGGCGGGATGGCGATTAGACTGGTTTGAGAGAAATTGGAAGCGACGGAAAGTCTGACGCACGAATCAATCGGCGAGATAGAAGATAAGAAGTTAATAGAAGAGAAGAAAGAAGAAGACACTGCTGAAGAATAGAGAGGAACACGAACTGAAGGGCGGACGATCTCGAGATCTTTATACTCGAGCTTAAAAGGTGATGTCTACAGTCTCTACTCTTTGGGGGAAATATGTTTGTACGCCAAGAGTCGCGTCCCGAGAGCTCGTAGCTCCGCGGCTAGACATGCCGACCCATGAACCCTTCCCTAGTCCTTCGTCCTCGATTCAGACAATTCGGCGAGCCCTTCAAACCAGACCTATCCCCAATAGGGTCAGGGACGAAGCGACAGGTGCCCCCCATCGTGTCTGAGGCACGTGAAACGTCGCGAGATCTTCAACGTCGCTAGCCCTGCGGCGGGTGGTTGGTGGGGGGGAGGGGCTCGCGGGGAGAGGCGATTGATGTGAGTGAGCATGTGTGTAGGTCCATCCCAATATCGACAAGGCTCTTTTTCGGGCGACATCCGTGGCATTCAACGGCGCAGCGATGGCAGCGCGCTAAAGAGACTCAGGCAAAACCTGCCGTTGGAGGGGCCTACCTTACCGCAGATCCTTCAGCTGAGGGACACACGCAGCGCATGCAGGCCAAACACACCTTATCTGCATGTCCTAAGAAGCCTGACGTGCCAACGAGCGAATCACAGCTCTTTCCGATGTAGAATGAGGGAATGTCGAAAGCATGATGTTAAGATTGTCAATTGTCATATTTGAGCCCATGTCTTTGGCTCTTCCTACCTTAATGTTAAAAGGAGTTTTAATTATTGTTGTTGAAGTTGTTAATGTCTGTTACTGACAGCCCAACCCCGCGCGCGTGAACCGTGTCATTGATTTCATCTGAGGGGGGGCTCAATTGGCGCCGAACCTGTAAGCCGAACTCGTACGCCGAACCTGCATCAGCCGAAAAAGCCACAAACCACCCTTCCAAAATCTCCTCGGTTTCTGAACCGCGGCGCTCTGACGAAATAATTTCCCCGAGGAACTGTCTGCCGACGGCACTGTCATTGCTCGTTGTCTATTGCCGCTCTCGCTACCGTTCTCCACCATCGAAAAGGACGATCTTGAAACGCCTGTTAGGCCGCGTTGGGAAATGGGAAACTGTAGTCGGGGAGCGCGGGCTGCTCACCCCGGACGCATATTGTTTCACTTGCCAAGAGCACCATCACCTTAGCGGGGCTCCTTCGACGACAACTTGCGGCTCAATTGGCCGTCAGATCTGGCACATTTCGCAGAGATGAGATGAAGCTGAAGGGCGCTGGGAGACACAGAGAGAGAAGGAGAGGGGAGACGAGATGCAACGCATGACGGCCTGAGGTATTGGACGACACTGACACGCGCGTGTCATCTGTCGCCTGTCACCTGTCATCCGTCATGCTCGAACCTGCTGCTCGCTGTCTCTGTGACCTGTCCGGCGTGTGTGCACTGCATGCCTTTTCCTTTCGCCTCTTTCGCGCTGAACTTGCTAAGCCCGCGGGCTCCCTGCCCCGCTCCCCTTGTCGCATCCCCTTCGCCGCCCACCCCTTTCGTCCCTCGCCCGCGTCTGAATAGTTGCTAGGTCTGAACTGTTTGGCCGAATGAACTGTGGCTGTGATGAGACTTTGCACAGACCAGATGACGCCGCTGGGAGCTGTCAAACTCGGGTGTTTTTGCCGTTGTCGTTCCCTCGGTAAATCGCCAAGGCACTTGACTTGCCAAGACACGCGGCGACGAACACATCGCTTCGTGCCGAGAACTGGCTGTAAGGCTGCAATAGAAAGCGCGAAGGAAATGGCAAAAGCTTAGTAGGTTGGGTGCTGTTGGTGAGGTACTGATCGTCTACAGCATTAGGAGATTTTCCCGTGTCTAGGTTGATCGACGCCGATCTTCCAACCTACCCAGAGAAACAACCCCTTCGCTCCTTTTTCGGTTGTACTGCCGAATCCAATGATTTTCCCACCTTGCAAATCCGGAGACGAGACAGCGAGGGAAGAAGAAAAAAATGGGCAACTTGAAGCATGCGGAAACCAGGCTAGCGCAGGTCGCATCCTCACTGGCGGTAAGCCGGCATCACCCCTGTCGAGCCAGGGGCCCGACTCGAGGACATCAAGGATGCACGAGGTTTGTCAGAAAACCTCCCCCATCCACTTTCGTGTCTCAAAGCAGCCATACATCATGGGTTAAGGCCAGAGACCCAGTCGACCAGCAGCCCAACACCATGGCGCCTCAAACGACAACGTCAGATCTCCCTGCCCACACGTGTGTCCCATAATATCCCTCGAATCAACGACATCACCGCCGTCTCCACCGCGATCCAAAACAGCAAAACTACCCTCTGCCAGAGGTCTGTAGACTCTGAGAACGAATCGCGCACCGTTTGTCGGGGGCTTCCAGAAAGCCATCGCTTACCAACCTGGCTTCCATATGGATGGGGGGGATGGCCAGCCATGGAGGTCGCCATCATTTGTCCCATGCCCCCTATCCATACTGAAATGCCCTGTTTCGCATCGTCTGAAAAGTGGCACTTGCGATGGAATCAACCTGCCCCCCTTTCGAGGTGCGTGAAAGTCCGGACCGTTGACATTGACATTGCCAAGTCGGGATGATTACCCAGCTTCTGACCCAAAGTCCAAAGTTGATGATCCCTACTTGGTCTCTCCCGCGGTCTCATGCGAAAATGCCGCAACAGAAGGGCCGCTTACAGAGAAGAATCTGAGGGGACCTCTTGTGTGTGTGTCCCACACCACACTCTTGATGCTTCACTGCCACCACAATACAAGCTCATAGCCAACAAACAGATCGACAAAACTTACAGCATAATTCGTAGTCGTCGACCGCCAAGCCGCGTCAAAGGTGCCGACCCGTCTCACTCGGCGGGGCTGGATGTTCAACTGCAACCCATCTGTTCCATGCCGGAGAAGGAGGAGATGCGCTTTTCAACATTGCCCACACCGAGACTCACTGCAGGAATGCAAGATCTCCGCTGGCTGCTAGGTTTGCTCCTGCCCTTTCTGCGTACGCGATGATGATCTCGTTTGGATCACATTGTCGTTTGGCTCAACTATCATGAGGCCTGATTTTGTTTCGGTCATGGATGCCATATTCTCTATTCTGCCAATTATCGGAGGTAGAGACCATACACTCGAAAACATCACGCTGATCAAATGCCAATGATGAGTGACGTACTAGAGGAAAGTGTAATTGCTCTTTGACCTTCCTCCTCTGAGCAACATATGCTATGTGTGAAGATAGCTGTGTCATGCTGCCGAGCCTCAAATGTACGATCGGGGAGCTGATTTTAGCTACAGAATTTTTGTTTTTGGGGCCAATGCACAAGATGTACTATGATGAACTCTAGCTTCCTGCTTTACTTGAGACTTTGTTTTGCATGCATGCAGACCTTTTGCAATAGACATACTGAGTAGAGTTATTTGCATGTCTAAATACGAGAACGTCGCACTTCAGATGACCCCGTGTATATATAAAGCAGAAAATTGGTGAAACAGGGGGTGATTGACCCCTGTGCTGCAGCATTCGTATTGAGTGCGACCCAACAGGCCTGTTAAAACACTTCGTTCACTTTCATAGCCACTGGTATTCTTTGAGCCTAAAGCGGTATGCATCGACAGGTTTTGGCCGCCAATGAAATCAAGTTCTTTGGCCAACAGTGAAACTCGACGGTCTGTGGCGGTTTCTCCTTCGAAGAACCCCCAATGGGCTCGAAAGACACCCTTCTATTCCCCCTTTGATTTGATTATGAGTAGCAAAGTTGAGAAAGATGACCACTGTGAATTCGAGGCAAATCGTCAGTGGGTGACTGCGTCATTGCGCAGCCGTAATGGATGAAATGAAGCAGCGATGGCGCATGGATTGTATTAAATACTAGACTGGCCGCTAGAGAGACTTGTTTCTCAATGCGCTTCATCGGGCCTGCGTGAAGCCATCAGGAGTCTATCTGCTTTCCTCACGATTGTCGGTGAGTGCACTCGCCGGAAGACGGCGTGGTACAAAGGCCCACGGCCCCGACCCGTCCGGGCTCGCGCTAGTTCGGCACTGGCCGGTTCGGTCCGTCAACCGTCGCAAGCTCGGCGCAGTTCCCTCCACGCGGGCCTGGGCCCGACACGGCGTTTCTCGGCGTTCGGATCTGGAGAAGCTAGCTGCATGCAGGGGTCCAGCGGCAGTTATCATGCACCGCCCGCCGGCTGATCCATAAGATAGCGAATGCTCGTCTGTGGGTTGCTTCCGAGTACCCAAACATCGGAATTCGAAAAGAATATTAGTTCAACGTACTTGAAAATGGTCATTGAAAGCTGTCTAGCTTGATGCTGAGGTCCAAGTACCGCCAAGCCTGGGCGCGACGCTAATGGAAGTTGCCAAGCCTGTGACAACCGCATGGACTCAGATCGGATGGCTAGGATCATGGTCACCGCCTCTCAAGAAAATTCACGATTATCATGTTAGGCGAATGGGGAAATTTAGAAGTCTGTTGTAATGAAGTCTGATGAATTTACTAGATAGGTTGGAGTGTATCGATAATGTCATTGGTGAAGGAAGACATGCCCCGCTCGTCAGGCCCCACTACCCCGGCTCGCACGACATCAGATAGGCGGCGGATGATCTACCCGTACCTCGACCGGGATGGAGACACCGCCGGGTCGGCTCCCGATATCATCAACGGCAACCCCAACACCCCGAGAATGCTCCGAGTTGTCTCTCGGAACTGCAACCGACGACGACTGTAAGTCGTGGTATAAGTATGTAATTCTTTATCGGGACCAACCAAGTTTATCGTGCGTTTAATCAATTCTATGGAAGTTTTTGAGAGAATCATCAAAAGTAAGACCCCCCTTGTATCCGGCGTCTGCTTTTGGGCAGCAGAACCATGCCACGAGGTCGTATACATGTTTGCTTACTGTGATGGTCGTCAAAGTGTCGAGCCTCGTTCCTCTTACCATCATCAAGGGCGCGGGCCACGAGTTCATCCCCCTCCCCGAGGGTGAGAACGCCACCGTTGCCGACTTCCACTCGTATGTTTCTTCCAGCCCACTGGTTCACATGACGAAGCCTGACGTCCCAATAGGATCCGCACAGAGACCACCGACTCTCCCGCCCACTTCACGTCGGGCTTCTACAAGATTGTCGCCGGCCCTTCCCGCCCCGCCCACTACACCTTTGAGGAGACCAAGTACGTCCTCAGTGGTCAGATCGACATCTTGGTAAGTTGCATCTCAATGAGCAGACCATGAGACCTTGACACTAACAAACACGTTTTTGATAGGACGAGGCCACTGGTATCACTCACCACCTCGTACCCGGTGACTTTGCCTTTTTCCACGTCGGATCCAAGGTCCAGGTTCGTATCCTCCTTTTACCTCATCATTACAGGCTGGAAGGCTAACTTACGTGTCTGCATCTTAGTTCTCAACCAAGTCCGAGGGTCTGGCGTTCTACGCGGTAACTCGACCAGTACGAGTTCCCCACCCGAACCTGCAGGGCAGAGAGGAAGACGTCAAGTCCAAGCTGTAAAATAATTAGAAAGAGCAAACTCTTACAAATGAGTCATGAAATTCACGTCTGAGCATTAATCCTGCAAACACTTGCCGTGCATGAGAAGTCACGTCACTTTCAACAACAAGATGTACGTCGAAACCAGAAATACACATTATCATCTAAACATTATCTACCCGCCGGCCTTCCGCGGAAATCATTATTCCCCAAGTTACCAGACACCAGCCCCGAGTTCGCAGCCTCCGGGTCATGCCGTTTCGTGCCCAGATCCAAGAAACCAGGGTCTGTTCCGCCGTGGAACCGCACCCACATCCGTCCCGACTCCTGCTGGATCCTGTCCAGCTCCGGCGCCGCGCGGCCATTCTCCCGGAAGAACGACATGTTCCTCGCCAGTCTCCCGCCATCCCTCGGCTGGCCCGGTTCGCTCGTAGCGCTAGGGCCGATTCCGGCTTGCGGACCCATTTTATCATGCAGCCCGAAGAAGAGCAGCGGGAGCACGTTGCCCTTCCACACCGGCTGCTCCGGGTCGGTGTAGTTCTTGATGATGACCCAGCCAAGGAGGAAGGCGCAGCAGGCGACGAGGACGGCGGGCAGCGCAATGTACTTGCTGTCGAAGTAGGTGCACGTGCTACTCGCCCATACTTCGCCGAGTGCCTGGGCGCCCCGGTTCTTGAGGGCGTCGACGCCCCGATGGATGTCGGGACCAAGACCCGTCATGCGGAACTTGTTGGTGACGGCCCATGCAAAGCTGTCTATGGCGCTGGTCAGACTGGCTACCGTCGCATTCTTCTCGGCCCACAACGGCGTCAGCCACCATGACTCGAAGCAGTTGAGATGGCCGCTCTGCATGTTGTCGTATCTACAAGTGGCGCTAAAGAGATCGACGCTGAGGAAACTGGACAACGCCGAAAAGAATGTGCCGTCCATCTTGTACAGACAGGCGTTAGGTACCAGGCGGATGTCATTGTCGGCGATGGTATAGTTCGTCCAGGTGCGTCCCGGGACGTCGAGGGCGTCGCTCTGATTGTTGAAGTCGTACCAGGTGCCGTCGTCAAGCACGCATGGGCTCCGGCGGGCTGTGTAGTTACCGTATCCCGAGTAATAATACGAGCCCTGAGATCCAAGCTCGGCCTTATTGGGTACCGCCGTCGTGGTACGGACGAGCTTCTCTGTCAGAGTGTTGTTCTCGTACTGGGCGAAATACTCCTTCATGCAAGGGTACAGAACGCACGAGGCGGCGATGTAGTCTCCGAGATCACCATAGGAGTTCATATTTGTTTCGGTGACGCGATGCGGGCACTCGAGCTTGGGTATCCCCGTCGAGTTGTCCGACGTGCAAGGCGAGCTCGAGATCATGAGCATGCTAAAGTTCGCAAGCGAGACTGCCGACGCCGCCGCAAAATCCTCAGTAAAGAGACTGGTGTACGCGCTGAGGTTGCTGTACCCCATCCACATGTAATTGCCAGACATGATGTTGATGAAAGCGCCTTGATCAGGCAGCGTGATGTTGCTCACGTTGTTGGGCCCGCTGACGAAGCTCGTCGTGTCAATGCACTTGCTGCACATGCCGATGCTCGCGTGCGTGACGCCTGTGCCGTAGTCCGGCCATGTGCAGTTACCACTGGGGCAGCTGACTTGGACGTTGCTGTACTGGCTGTTTGGGTCTGTGATGCCCTGGATCATGGTACTCTTCATGTCCACCTCGATCTCATATGAGCCCGCACCCACTCGGTAGTAAGCTGATGATCCGGGGACATAGTTGGCAGCCGGAATGGAAGAGTTGATATGGTCCTGCAACATAGGACATGTGCTGGTTCTGACGGCTTGCTGTGTGACGGGGCCGACGGACAAACTGGCGATGGTTACCAACGCGGCCCCAATGGCAAGCAGGCCAGCAGATGTAAATCCCATGTTCCATATCAACACCGCCAGGAGTTTCATGGAGCCGAGGATAGACCGACTGGCCGCATCAAAGTCCTGCAGGTGGTGAAGCGGGCGCGTCTGCTCAGTGAACCAAGTCCACTTGATCTGGCCGATGATCTCCGCAACAGCGGCGACGATGGCCGCCCGAAGAAAGGTCGACAGAAAGGCAATGGCGGAGTTGAGGTTGATCTCGAACGGCCATTCTGGCATGTAGCGGCCATCGTAGTACGCGAGGAGGGCGATGATGGCAACGAGAAGGCCGACCGCGACGAACACCGTGAGGAGCTCGAGGGCCCAGTAGCTAAGCACATGGCGGGTATGGCTTGGCCTCGGACTCGGACTGACTGAAGGTTGGCGTTGAAATGGCGGGCCAGCTGCGGGCGGCGGATGCAACGACGTGGGGGGCGGTTTCTTGGCTTCGTCCTCGCCGTGGAAGGGCCACTGAGGAGACTGCTTGTCGTCCTCTACCTCCTGGAAAGGCCACCTATGTTCTGGCACGGCATTTTGTGCGGAGCCGTTCGCGGGCGCGTGTTGTTGTGGTTGTTGATGAAAGGTCGGCGAGGGCCGGTCTTCGAGCTCCCAGGCCTTTTGCGACGATGCCATGCTCAAACAGGTGCTTTCCGCCCAGAATCGTTGCGGTTAAGGTTGAAGCATGGAAATACTAAACCGAGGTGCTCTGAGCACATTCAGCCTTAAGCAAGAAGGACAACAAGTGCCCTTCATTGTTGGGATGGGCGGGCGCCCCTAAAGAGACGGAAAATATTCAAGCTTGTCACGAAGGTTGATCATAAAGAACCGAAATTAGAGGCTCCATAGAAGCAGACCTACCCCGGCCATCAGGATGATTAACCTTAGACGCACAAACAACAACCTCACCTCTGAATCGTCGACGACCACGCGTCAATGCTCGGATAAAAACATGGAAAATATGTCAAATTCAATTGAGTCGTCAGCGCTACACTGGTCCAATCCATTTGCGTAAAGCTCACTTTTCTGCCCAGGCTGCTTCATCCTCAATCAGGTCCTCCGTTAGGATGATCGGCCATCGTCCAGTTCCCCGGGCGCCCCGACACATGGATAGGTCCAGCCTTAAACTCCACGAAGAGTTCGTGATCCAATGAGAAGCATCATGTCGATTGTTTCATATCCAGCAGTATCCACACAAGCAACAAGCGAGTTGGTCGGACCTGGGACCTGACTCGAGAAATTCTCCCATGACGATAGCTAGCTGACGATCCATTTCGATCACCGCCTTACCCAAATAGCGATGCGCTTTCGCGGTGGCAAATTATCGTGTTCATAAACGTGCGCCGGCACATCTATCCGTTCGGACAATCACGGTCACCGGTGGCCGAAAGAGTATGGCAAACGCGTAGGCTAGAACTGCACTGAATTCGTGTCGTCGTTTCTGAATAAGATCATAAACCTACAGACTATCCTCTCACTTGCGCGACACAAACGGTGTCTTCCAGTAGCCGGGGAAGTGCGTGGGCAGCTTCTGAGCAATCCACCTCACGAGTGCCGCGTTGGTCTCCTCCGGCTTCTCCATCGCAACCCAGTGCCCCGCCTCGATGCTCACCTCGGTGAGGTCATCGCACAATTCCCGCATGGGCTCACTCAATCTCGAAATGGAAGTATCGCAGACGCTGTCCCATCGTGCCTCCACAAAGAGGACGGGGTACGACAGCCGGCCCCCGTTCGGTGCCTTGAGGTTGTACGCCTTGTTGGCGGGGTGGTTGCGGTAGTAATCATTCGGGCCCTCGAAGCCGTTCTTCTCAAACTCTGCGACCATGCGATCAAACGCCGGCTTGTCGTCCTTGAACAGCGTCGACTCGAAGGGCGTGTCTGGCGCCTCTGGGAGGCCGCCGAACCAGCCCCCGGTCTTCCGAACTGACGCGGTAAAAGCGGGCTTGCCGTAGGTCTGCGGACTTCCGCCTCGGTAGAACAGCTTGACGGTGTTGGTGACGTTGGCCGCTAGCTGGCTGGCACTGGCTTCAGGCTGCTCGGTGTGGAAGGCCTGGTAGTCCCATTGAGCGAGCGGGTACTGGTCCTCGGGATACAGTTCGCGGTTGGAAAGAGCGGCGAGACCCTCCAGGCCATTCGCGAGGACTTGGTACGGGACCGTCATGCAGCACACGCCCACGCACTTCTCCGGGTGTTGCGCGGCGAAGCCCCAGACGAGGCCGGCACCCCAGTCGTGTCCGATCCACACCGCCTTGTCACGGCCAAGGTGGGCGAGCAGGGCCAGCATGTCCGATACATGGTGCTCCAACGCGTAGGCGGAGGTTTCCTTGGGCACGCTGGATCGTCCGTAGCCGCGGGTGTCGGGCGCGATCGTGCGGAAGCCGAGCGCGGCGAGGGCGAGGAGCTGAGGCTTCCACGACTCGCCGTTGGCGGGCCAGCCGTGGATGAAGATGACCAGCGGTCCCTGAGATGGGCCAGCAGACCAGTAGAAGGTGGTCTTGTCACCGCTGTGGGTGAAGGTGTTCTCGGTGAGCGTTGTCGAGGCCATAGCGGGGTATATTTGTTGGACCTCGGTGAAGATTGAGATCGGATGAAGATGGTGGACTTGATACTTTGTACAGGACCTAAGGACAATATTTATAATGATGGGTCGCGGTGAGGGGAATCCTGTTACACATACCCACTTCTCCTCTTTAGGCACGTCGTATGTCGATTTCGCGTCGCCAATGCAAGTTTCTTACTCAGATGAACGCAAGTCCCTTATTCCACACCGTAACATCCGGTGCGAAAAGTGGAGTCATCCTCACATCTACGGATCTTGGCTTCGATGTGAATTCTCTACTAGCGTTACCAAGAACCGAGGCAAACCTTATTGACTACAAATTAGGAAATATGTTTCATCTGCTAGCTACGGCAGATGGGCCATTTGTGATATCAGGCTGACTGATACGATGACCAACAGGCATCGGCGCCGTGGAGTTGAGCTGCTTATGAACGTCTGATGTCAGGTCATCCAATGAAAAGCAAGACGTTGCTGCATGAGACATAGTAGCTCTTACCGGCGGGATGTCGCATTACAAATGGAAGCGGTCGCAATATCAGGTCTTGGCGGATGCGGGTTTTGATCCAGGGAATCAGAACTCAGAAACTCTGCTGGAGACCCGGGTTCTCGGGGACTTGTCATGCCCGTCGTTGATCAACTTCGCGCAAGCTGGAAGAGGGAAAGGTTCCCACCAAGCCAAATCACTTGAAGCTTCCATTGATGTCTGGTTTCATACCTCAATTCTCTCAAATATTCTCCCGGAAATGTGCCATGACCTTTCAACTAAGCTCTGCTAGAGTGTAAAAAAAACATTGACAGGAGGACTTTGTCTGTGATAAAGAATCGCCAGACCTCGTCCTAAATTACTGATTCCAACAAATGACTGCATTAACCATTCCTCTTGGTCTCGGGCTTTTGTGCGTAGACCACATGGCTACGAGATATACTTCATCAGCAAAACAGTCGCACCAACTCTGTTGACGATATACTCACAGGTTGTAGTAGGCATGGAATGCCGGAGCCTTGAGCTCTTTGCGGACCGACATCAACAAAACTTGAACCTCTTCCTTTGTCCACCCGAGAACACTGCAGAACATTCGCAGTGTAAAGCCCTCCAAGCCATCGAGGAGCATGATCATATTGGTCATTCCTACGTCCTTGTAGTAGGGATCCTTTGGCCAAGGTCCAATGGGCAATTTGAACACCTGATGTTTGATGTTAGTAAACCCAGCTTCTTTAGCCCAGCCCTCCAGTTTGGGACCCGGGCAAGGTTCTCGTCCAATTGATTTAAAGCCATCAAGGAAGTCCTTGGTCCACTTCGAAGTGTGATGATCGTCAGTCAGCGAGCCATCGTCTGATCTGTACAAGAGATCGTAGTCTTGAAATTCTACCCATCCGCCAGGGTTTGTGTTTCTATAATACCGGTTTGTCAGCGTTCTGTCTGGATGCCTATTTATGTAACTCACTCGTAGATTCTCGACATGAGCCTTGGCCAATCCGAGATGGATGCTGCCATGTACCGGCAGAAGATGAAATCAAACTTCTCGTTGTAGATCCATTCGCTTTCGACGTCATCGACCTCAAATTTGACATTGGGTGGCACCCTATTGCATCGTCAGTCAAGCACACGGGATGTCACATCTCTCTGAGAGCTATCATTACCATTTGGGCTGAATAGCACTCAAATCGTTACCGATGACCTTATCAATCTATTAGCCCGGCCCGGAGAAGCAGCTGACTTGTTTAAATATACCTCTGCGTTGGGGAACATATCCGATGCCTCGATGGCCCCTGTTATGTTCGTCAGACTTGATAGGTACGGGTGGCAATGACACGTCGCACGTACAGATACCTGTACCGGTTCCAATGTCAAGGATGCGATGGGTCTTCTCTTTCGGGACAGGGGCCAGAAAAAGCTTTCTTCCGATGGTTTTGAGTATCAGCATATGATTGAAGTCAAGTCGGTCCATTTCGCTCTGTGCGTGCACCGCAGGTTCTCATTAGCAAGTATGTAAGAGGGGCGTGGTTCAACAGTCTCAAGTGTACCTCATCGTTGGGAGCAAAGTAGGCTTTCATCACGTCAGCATTCGGGATTGACAGCAGCAGCAGAGTCCGCAACTTTGCGTCACTTACAGCCAGCCCGAAAAGCATGATAACGTCGGCCATTCTCGGTCGGGTAGTCAAGTACGCTTTCAGACAGAGATGCCGAGTAAGTTGAACTAAGTCATCAGTATACTAGCTTGATATCAGACACTGAAGGCTCTCACATTCGGCTATCGATCGTTGAAGCTGTATCGGATTGCTGTACCACATGTCAACAAAGTCCATCATCACAAACTGAAAAGTAAAAGGGTCCACGCACATGCTCCGCCTCATCTACATCAAGGGCCCCAGGCGCGAGATTTCTCGCGGCTTCCGGTGAGTCTCCTGAAGCAGGTGATGCTGTCTGCGATGTCGCCGCCAAGTCTGGCCCGGTGGTGTTCCTCTGCGCCTCTGCCATGCTGTCAATTTGGATTTCGTAAGAAGCGATCGTCACGGGATTGAAAGAATGCTGTTTGCAAGCTTGATGAGAACGTGTGTTTGAAGAAGAGGGGTAGTTTCGGAATTGCCGCTCTCGATAAACAACACACATTTGTACTTGCCGCATCATTGCTTTGGCTTGCGACTTCCAACATCTCGGCGCCCCAATTTTCTGTGCGAGGCCGCATGGGTGGTATGCAGTGAACGTTCCATTCTAGTACCCCTGGAAGCCTCTCAGCTAATCATAAGTCTGCGAACATTGTAATGATGGGGCTGCCGCACTTTTGCATCCAACATCTGTCGGTTCGACACCAATCATATTCAACCGCTTCTGATCCCCGGACCATTCGCATATGCAACCTGTGGTCACCCAAACGCATTTTCCTCTTTCAGAGACAATATCAGCTCACCTGGATCCTGTTCATATGTTCGCATACGCACGGAAGGGAATGCATCCGAAGATATGCCAGCCTTGTATGGATTTGTGGACCAGTCCATGTAACGCGATTCAAATGCCTCAAGGGCTCTGCGAAGACATTGAGATGCACATTGTATCCATAGGTGTGAAAGCAAATATTGTAAATATCCCCGAAAATTTCAGTCTAGATTAGAAACCTTGCTACGGACTGAAGTCTTTCTACGTTTGTTCGCTCCGACGCTCAACCAGTTGAACTGGATCCCCCCGGGGCATTCGTTACTGTGCTCCAGGACATTTTTGATGTTTTTGACGCATAGTCACGCAGGCCCATCTCATTTCAATGGCTTCTGCCCATACACGACGTGTCTGGGGAGAGTCAGCGTTTTCATGATAAACATTTCCAAAGAAGCAAAATACTCACATATCAAACTGACTGTGAACCGTACCACTCTTCAACTCCTCACTCACCTCCTCGATCTGGGTCATCACTGCTTCTCTCGTCCGCCCGAGAACGCCGCAAAACATTTTAAGTGAGAATCCTTCAAGCCCCTCTAGAGTCTGTATTAGGTTCAGCATGCCCAGATTCTTGAAGAAAGTCTGTCTAGGCCATGGACCAACAGGTACCCTATATTTTCGATGGCTGACGTTCGTAAACCCGCCATGCGACCACACCCAGCCTTCCAGTTGTGGCCCTGGTGCAGGTTCTAGACCCATACTCGCCAAAGTTGTCACAAATGTCCTGCTCCATTGCTTCGTGGCGTGACTATCAGTGAGGGTCCCATCCTCTGAGTAAAGCTCGATGTCCATGTCTTGGAACTCTGCCCATCCCCCTGGGTTGAGATGGCTGTTGACGCAAGTCAGCATCAAACATTTCAAGGACCAATAGCAGCATCTATCTTGCCACGATAATGATGAATATCAAAAAGAAAAAAAGAGGAAAGTACTCATAGATATTCCTTATCAGCTTGGGCCAATCTCTGATCGCAGCTGCCATGTATCTGCACATAATGTAGTCGTATTTTTGATGTCCAACCCAAGAACTTTCAACATCATCTATTTCAAACTTGACGTTTGGGGGAACCCTGAAAATTTTAGCTATGTGCAAGCCATACACAATGTGTTGATAGCATACGTACCATATTGGCTGGATTGCACTCAAGTCGTTTCCAATAACCTATTGGCCATTAGTCTTGCGAACTCTGCGTTGAATTGACCCGAGAGGCCTACTTCTGCATGCTGGAAAAGATCGCCCATCTGGATTGCCCCTGTCACGTAAACTATCAGCACCAAGGCATGTAAGGAATCAGCCGTCATGTTCACATTTGCCTGTACCGGTGCCAATGTCCAAAATACGATTGACCTGGCCAAACTCAAGGGGCGCTAAGAAGAGTCTATTGCCAAGAAGCCTGAAAATCAGACGATGGGCCAAATTGAGACGCTCCGATTCAAGCTCATCGTTTGGAAGCGGATATTCTGGCCCTGTTAGAATACGCAAACAAACTTGTTTAATGATGAAACCCTACTCCCGGCTCGATAGGCATGATATCTTCGACCGAACTCTTCCGGGTAGTTGACGACACTTGACGATAATGACGCGGCGTAGGCTTGCCTATGTCATGACGAATGAGCGATTGAGTAGATGACATTTTGCCTGGTGGCATTCTTACATTTGTTCGTCAATCGTTGAACCGCCATCAGTCTTGTAAATGGTCAGTTAGAACAAAGGCGAAACCCCGAAAGTGGTCGTAAGTCAAGGAGCAACAAACACCATAGCCCTCATCAGCTTCGAGGGGTTCCTCGTCATCGCCGGCCTCAGCCGCCATAGCCGCTTGGACAGTGGTTGGCTGAACGTTCTGCTGCCATGAATCATGTGCATTGGCGGACATGATGGGCTCAGCTAACTATGTCGGTCAATCGGTGAGCAACTCTGGTTTTGGCACCCACGAAGCCTGTGGGGATGGGCTGAGATGGTGACCCAGACTGGAGTGATTTTTGAGAACGATAGTCCGAGGGCGTCGATGATGCGAACGAATAAAACGATTCTGAGAAATGAGAGGGGCTGGAGACCACCTGTTTCTTTGCTTCCGATAGAAAGACGGGGTTTTATGCAGGTGAGTGTTGACCGAATGCTGTTGGTGCCATGGATCCCGTTTATCAGTAGATGCATCCGGAAGTAGCTTAGGGAAATGCAGTTTGCAGGGGCGAAAGTGTTCTGAGTCCCGCCAACAAGGCAACCAGGAATCCAATCCTGGTTCTGCCTGCCCGCCAAGTGAGCAATTTAAGCGCCAATCTTCGCAGCAAGCAGCTCTAGTGCCGTCCCAAACTGAACTTCCTCGGGACCTCGATGATGCAAATTCTACCAGCATCCCGATTCTGGAGCAGGGCTCTTGAAAGTCGCCGGCGTGTTTTGATGAAGTCCCCATCTGGACGCAATCTCACCATTACCTACATGCTTCGACTAAAGGCATGACGTTGGTATCGGGGCTGGTACGCAATAGTAATCAGCAAACACGCAGGGATTAAGAGGCCTTGTTGGAGGCGAGGACTGGGCATCAAGCGGTCACTCGGTGCCTATCCTGTGACTTCATTCGGCTGTAAAATTTCGCAGGCAGCTGGCGTGCATGTCCAAGGTTTTTCGACCCCGCTCCCTACCCGACAATTTGCGGCGTCAATAAATCTACTTAGGTATCTACCTCAAATACAGCGCTTCCGTAAGAACGATCCACTGACAACATCTCAGAAATGGCAAGACCTTGTCTGCGAGATAGGCTCGCTCTGGTGTTCTTCATCACCAATCTATGACAAACAACTTCATGATAATTGAAATTCGCCTGGACGAATCGTCATCGATCAAGCCAGAAAGAATGCAGAAGGAAGGTTCATCATAGTCTCAAGTTTTCCCGCAAAGACTTTTCTGGTTTATAGAACTGGTATGCTCATCGGAAAGGGGCAACTCAGAAGGCTCATACTCGCGTGTGATAAACAAAGTAGCTACAGCTGTAGAAAAGAAAGGCAGGCAGGCAATATGCCTTCATGTTTCTTCATGACTGCTAGAAACAAAGAAACAAAACATGGACCTCAGAACTCCTTCTTGGCTGAGTGTATCAGCTCACGGAGTTCTGACTCCGATATTGGGTTGCTTACCTAGCGTATACAGACACCATAGTCATTTGGGAGTAGAAAGTGTTCCCAGAAGACATGGCTCCCAAGAGTAAAATTGGATCGTAATCAGATTCTCACTTATGACTGAGAAAGCACAAACAAGTTAGACTTGGCAGGAAATGAAAATTCCGGAGTACTGCCGTACTTGATGACTTCGGGTGAGCTTTTGAGACAGCAACTTCGCAGCAAAGGCTCCGGCAGCCCCGGGAGAGACTGTGATTTGTGGCGTTCATTTCGCTCCGATTGACGGCATTTCAAAATTGCATTATTCGAGGTAGTTAGCACTAAAATGACAGAGAGAAATCTCAAGCAAGGATCGTCAAGGTGCGCTAACAAGACAAAAGGAAGCATTGTGGCTTTCAGCTGCCTCCAATCAGCGATAGATACACCCACCACCAATGAAGACAATTTCCATTTCTGACCAAGAAAGTTGAGGGTTTTTGTTGGCAGGCTCAACAACCCCGCATCAGTTCCGTCACTTCACACTACTATCGCCTCTCAAAGTTCGTCAAACTTGTGGACGCCAGAAATCGACTGCGAGTCCAAACCCCTCCGCCATGATTTGTGGCACCTGCATCGGTGCACTTCATGATAGAAAAGGATGGGCTATTAGCGACCAGGACGAATCCGAGACGGCAATTTTACTGGCTCACCACGAGTCTATTGCCAGTCTCGAAGCATCTGCTCTGGAATCCTGCGAGATATGCCGCCCGTTCTGGTGGCAAATAGATGAGAATGAGAGGTCCACGCTGAGAGATTTTGGTACACTATGGGCTAAACGTCATGGGGCTGGAGCAAAACCGAGGATAAATGGCGAGAAGCTCGACGATGACGATTTAGATGGATTGGTCACTATTTGTGCCATAGTCAACTTCGGTGCGCAGGACGACATGAAGGCCCTAGGCATGGACCTGATGGTGTCTATATCTCTTGGGTCAGACTTCGGTGAAGAATGTCCGCTGAGGAGAACGGAATTGTATGGCAGTTACATCGTTCAAAGGGGAGCAGGTTAGTTATCCGATGCGAACATTATTGAATATGACTGGTATTTAATATCAATTCCGGCTAATAGACAAAGACCCAGGAAAGATGAAACCATTTCTATCCAACGACACTGCGTCTGAAGAAGCCTGGGGGAAAGCTATCACGTGGATGGAGACGTGCTGCTCAGGCCATCAATCATGCAACGCCGAAGCGGCCGCTGAGGCGTGGTACCCCACCAGGCTTTTGGACTTGTCTGCCCCGGACCTAGACCTTGACACTCTTCGTTTGATTATTACATCAGACGAGGCGTTTGCGTGTAAGCAGCGGTACACAACCTTGAGTCACTGCTGGGGCTCGGCGCAGTTCATTCAGCTCAACAAGTTCACTTATGCCGACTTTCGAAAAGGGATCCAGTTGTCTGACTTGCCGAAAACATTTCGAGAAGCTGTTGAAGTTACTCGACGTCTGGGTATACGTTACCTCTGGATCGACTCTCTATGCATCCTTCAAGACCGAGACGACCTCTCCGACTGGCTCGTCGAAGCGGGACTAATGCACAAGGTTTACTCATACTCATACTGCAACATCTCTGCTTCAGGGGCCCAAGATAGCTCCAAAGGGCTGTTCTTCCAAAGAGATCCACGGCAGAGTCTCACAGCAAATGTGACGATATGCACTGAGGGGCTTGGCCTTGGCGAAGACTATTTGGACTGTACTATTGTGAACATGGAGTTTTGGAGCCACGCGGTTGGCCAATGTCCCCTAAACAAACGAGGTTGGGTCTTGCAGGAGCGTCTGCTGTCCCCTCGCGTTCTCCATTTTGGCCGAGACCAGTTATACTGGGAATGCAGAGACCACACAGCAGCCGAGTGTTATCCAGACGGACTACCCGAAACATTGCGCAATACCGCTCTTGTGAAATTCAAGAGACTGACCCCGACAGAGCCCAGTTCCAATACTGATCAAGAAAATGCTATTGATCCATTCGGATATCACCGAATGTGGCAATCAATTATATGGTCATATTCCGAAACTCAGCTTACCAAGGCCTCCGACAAATTGATTGCATTGTCCGGAATTGCAAAATACTTTCAGACAAAGATGAAGGACACGTATATTGCAGGCATGTGGCTTAGTACTTTGGAAAGCAGTCTACTCTGGGGAGCAAATCGTGATGGCCAAATCGACGGCTCGCCATCCGTTCGACCTGATGCATACCGCGCACCGACTTTCTCCTGGGCCTCCATAGATGGGGAGGTAATTGCCCCTACTTCAACTAGAGAAAACCTTCTCATTGAGGTTGTTGACTTCCATCTTGACCATGATTCACCGGACACAACCGGCCTTATTACAGGAGGATATCTCGATCTCAAGTGCCGACCGGGATCTTTCGAAATGGTGGTCAACTACGTTGGGAAATTGCAGCAACTCTTCTTGAAAGTGGACGGCGCCATCGTAAAATCTAAGCATAAGAAAGATTGGGTCGCTGGTGTGGGAGTGTATTTGGATGTCAGCCAGAAGAGCTTCGACGACGAGAACAAGGGGTCTTTGTACTACGTTCCCACGCAAAAGCAGACAACAGCTGGCGTTTTCTTGTCGTATCTGCTGCTAGTAGCGGAGGATGAGGCCCAGGCCACGTTCCGTAGGATAGGGATCGCGGTGACGGCCGAGGCCGAAGAGATTGGTCTGCTGAGCACAGTTGATAAGGAGGTCCGAACGATCCGGATTGTCTGAAGCTCTATCTCAGAGACTGAAGAGCTGAAATGAATTGGGCGACTTCATTACCTCTTGATTCAAGCACCATGGCCTGGTCAGTATGGTAGAATGGGGCATGACATCTCACCATTAAAATCTGTTCCGCGTCCTGTTCACCTTAGGTCCCACCGGGGACATAGGAGTCAATAATACGCCCTACTGCGTCTACGCGCCCTATCAAACACCATTCGGGCGCTTGATTCGTCTCATTTCGCCGCTTAGAAACCAATGATAGAGTTCGCAAAACATCAATTGAGTTCCGGTTAACTGGCTACTGTGCCTTCATCTCCCCCACTCTACCGGTGGGATACCGACGAAAGTATCTCACAAGCGCTTGGACGTAGGCCAAAACTTATAACCTCAAGCGTCCTATGCAGAACTATGCGTTTATAATGGATTGGATTGCACACCTGTCGCGGCCGATTCTGGCGACAGTTATTGTTGTAGTGGGCTTTTGTCACGAAACCTTCATGAGTCAGACGTCTTTCTCAATTGTCGTCGTTCCAATGCTGTTTCTCAAAGGCTTTTGCGGCGCAAGTCTATTCGCGCAGGCGACCGCTACCTACACCGGCAACCTCAACTATGGGTCACCCTCTCTACACCATCCGTTCCTCGGGATTTCTATCCGGAAGGTGGCAGATCGCTCTGAAGGCAGCACGCCATGGACGCCGGAGCAGCTCAACTTCACTCACGGCGTGGCCTCCGGCGACCCGTACGATGACAGCGTCATCCTCTGGACCCGTGTCGCCCCGACGATGGACAACGACCATAGCAACGTCACGGTTGAGGGAACAGCCCCTGTCTTCGCTCACGACAATGATGTGTTTGTCAAAGCGAGCAAGTCGCTGATCTGCGTCGATTGGAAAATTGGAACGTCGGAGACTATGAACGGGCACGCCGCCAGATCGGGTACGGCTTATACAAGTTCGGATGTAGACTTCACGGTCAAGGTTTGTTGACAGAGTCTGTTCTGAGCCTTGGCGCTTGTAGCTAAGTGGTGCAGGTGGAAGCGAAAGGGCTGAAGGCTTTTACAACGTACTGTTCGTGCACTAGCCTCCCTACCTACTTGTCAGACACGAGCTAACAGGAGTCAGATTACCAGTTCAACGTGTGCAACTCCGAAACCAAGTCTCCCATCGGTAGAACCCGGACTCTTCCAGAAGCCAACTCCAGAGTCAAGCGTCCTGTCAAGCTAGCTGTCTACAGTTGTGCAAATTACCGTGAGTATTGTGGCATACTTGCAGGCTTACTATACTAACACAAGCCGTGACAGCTTTCGGCTTCTTCAACGCCTACGGAAACCCAGAGCGAAAAGATTCTGTGGACTATGTCATTCACCTAGGCGACTACATCTATGAGTACGGCAACGGAGAGTACCCCGTCGGCGGTCTGGGTTGGGGCGACTCAATCGGAAGAGTCCCGGAACCCAACCGCTCTTGTCATACGTGTGTGATTCCCAACCTCAAGCTTCGGTTGCTCTAGTACTGACTTGAGATGCGTTAGACTCTACGATTATCGCAAGCGCCTCGCTCAGTACCGGAACGATCCCGACCTCCGCGCCAGCCACCAGAAGTTCCCCTGGATAACGGTCTGGGACGACCACGAAGTGATGGACAATCCGTACCGCGACGGGTCAGCGGCGATGAACAACACCGAACAGTCGTTCATCAAAGACGACGGCATCTCCGTCGATACGCGCAAGATGAACGCCGTGCGGGCGTACTTCGAATGGAGTAAGTCCACCCCGCATTATCCCTTTCTCTAGCTGACATCTTCACAGTGCCCCTTCGGCAGGTCGACATGGACGACAACCTCCGCATCTGGCGCAACTTCCAATTCGGCGACCTCTTCAATCTCATCATGCTCGACACCAGGAACTACGACCGCTCCATCACCGACTTATACTGGAACACCGGGTACATCCACGAGATCAGCGACGACACCAGCCGCTCGCTCATGGGTTCGCGCCAGGAGAACTGGTTCTATCGCCAGCTCAAAGATACACCGACCCTCTGGAGGATCGTGGGCAACCAGATCGTGTTCAGCAGGATGAACCAGAGCATCTCCAACGGGCCCAAGAACCCCTTCAACTACGACCAGTGGGACGGCTACGTCGCGAACAGGAACCGGACATTGAAGACGCTGTATGATAACAAGATCGACAATACAGTCTTCCTGGCGGGTGATAGTCATGCATCGTGGGTCAGCGATCTCGTATGGTTAGGTGAGAAGGATTACGGCCCAGAGACTGGGGCAGGGTCCATCGGCGTCGAGTTCGCCGGCACAGCGGTCTCCTCTCCCTCATCAGCAGGTCAGAACATCACGCAAGAGAAGGCTCTCAACAGGAGTTCGTGGATGACGGCGGCCAATCCGGAACTGCAGTGGCAGGAGTACTTTTACCGAGGTTACTTTGAGCTCAGTGTGGGCTACGACGCGATGAATGCTACGTTTTTCGGTCTACCGACGTACGCCACGAGGAACGGCTACGAGATTGCGTTGGCAAACTTCACTGTTAAGGCTGGAGAGAATAAGCTACAACGTCCGGTCGGGGGAGGTAGCGTCGAGTTCGGGAGCTTGAAGGGCGGAGTGACGAAGCAGACGAACATCACCCATGATACCGGCACTGGAAGCTGGTTCGTATTTGGGGAGAATAAACCTGGTCCTATGGATCTGCTTCAAGGTGCAACGAGTAGTTTTCAGAGCGGAGGGGCGGTGCATATTGCGGCATATACATTCTCTACGAAATGGTTGTTTGTGGTGGTTCTTGTTACTTTGGCTCTGCCATCTCTTTATTAGTTGTAACAGCAGACTTGACAGCGCTAGATATCGTTGTCGTCATGTGAAAAAGACGATCCTGGCTGGAAATGATCATTTGGAACATACCAGGGAATAGTTTAACTCACATTCGCATTAGGTAAGCACTGACAATCACTCTTGACTTGAGAGGCGTCAACCGCAAGAGCAATCGTGGCCCAGTTTTCTGGAGCGAAAGTTTGATCAAGACGGGTTCTATCTATCATGCTATGTAAACCGGTAAACGACTACCAAACAAATCGCTCTTCGAAATCTGTATATCGTCTGGATGAAAGTTATGAAGCATCAGCCAGCAAATCGACCGGAACACCAAGGTATACCATATGTCTTCGCAGCTCACATTCTTTACCTGCCAAAGCGGTAGTTTCTCGGAATCATTCTCAGTTGTATCTGCCTGACCGGGCTTGCTTTCCTCAGGATCGGTGTCACTAACAGAGGCAGAGATGTCCAGATTGCTGGCCAGTTTCTCAACCTCAGAAATGACCTTAGGCCTAACAATCCGGAAGTAAAGCTCTATAAGCTTTGCTTGTCTTAGCTCCGGCGGTACGCGCTCTAGCTCGTTCCACGTTACGAAGTCAGCCGAGCCTTCAACACTCTCAATATCCAGCCGGGTTGAAGGTGTTGTTCCCTCTTGGAGACCAGCAAGTGTTACTTGAATATGAATGCGTAAAGTGAGCAACGTAAGAGCTTTCCTTTTACGTCTCAAGATTTCTTCAGCCTTCTGTTCCTTAGATCTGGTGCTCTCACCCGGCTTTTCAGTGTCACTCGGGGAGCGCATCAGGTTAGAATTTGTAGTGTAATTCTTCATCATTACGGCGCGTTCTCGCATGTTGTATGTCGTCAAGAGTTCAGTGGCATCGGCTACACTTTCATGTAACAAATCAATGAGGTCGACATCTGTGTTGCCGTTTTCACTCTGGCTCCCACACTCCAGAATGGCTTGTGCTCTTCGTTGTATCTCTCTTTGAACGAAGGTCTGGTTTCTGGCTGCAGTATTGTGCATGGCAGACTCGTTACAATGATGCAAGAATGACTGCATCATCAAGGTCAGCGAAGAGGCATTGGTTTCCCATTTGTATGGTGTTGGGTTTGGTAGCATGCGAAACACGCTATACTTGATATGTAATGACTTGGCTACCATCCCTATAATTTCGAAGATAACTAATGGGTATGTTACTATCAAGTCCCGTAATTTTGAATTGAGAATAGCTTACCAGGGAAGATGTGTGAGCCAATCTTATTTTCTGAAACCAATCTAGTAGCCCACGTGTTGCAGCCTATGACGGCCAGTGACTGAGCGATCTCATCCAAGTTGGCTAAGTGTAGAATCTCAGTCGTAGGCGTAGTGTTGTTGGATTGTAAATAAAGTCTCCGTGTGTCTCCCGATCGAAATATCGTAGGAACCAGACCAAAGCAAAGTTCTTTAATTTCGTCCTTGGGGATGAGGCGAAATTGCTCGAATCGGCTTCTTCCGTGAACCTGGAATGTAAGGACTGTGCCGAGATCTGGCGCAATGCTGCTTTTGATAACATAACCATTTCCTTGCGCTCGATATATGTCTTGAGAGCGGTCAAAATCCTTCCAGTATATGCCAAGGGCAGCGGCTAGCTCAATCGCATGGCACCATGTTGTGGTCGCGTACGGCTTTTTAAAGTGGGATGGCAATGCCGTCCACGTGGTTGATCTCCGTTGAATTGCGAATGCAAGCGTGTGCTTGCCAATTGCATAGTCCAGAATGTCGTCGGTACCAACCCTCTCGGGAAGCTGAGTTGTTCTTGGCAGGATTTTCTGATTCGCTCTTCGTTCCCAAATATGTTCCTGCCAACATCTGGACTCATTCTCCATTCTCTGCAGTGCAGACAATAGTGTAACCCAAGTTGCAAGCTCGTTGTCAGGAGCTCGTATCAAAGCTTTTGCAGCTCACTGCTGTTCTTTTACACTTGGACTATTCGGTGCACTCGGCAGCGCTGACCAAGTGATGTCGAGGCTCTTTGGTGTGCCATCAATGTACAGAACTTCTGCCCTCTTGATTGGGCCTTTGTCGTTCGCTGGTTGACAGACAAAGATCACAGGCACTTGAAATTGAATGTCAAATCTTAATTCTCTCAGGATCGGAACCCGTTTGACTGACTGAGCCCACTTTCCCATGGTGGCCGCAGTCGGACGCCGAGCGGTGTAGAGCTTTGTGGTGGTCGGCTTCATAAACTCATAACGGTGGGAGTTGGATATGTCGGCGGGAAAGACGGGGATGGCGACCCTAGAAAGATCGGAGATTTCAGACAAGCTGACTCCAGAAAACACAGACCAGGTGTTTGATGCCGCGACAGACCTCCTCGTAGAGAAGCCGATTGTCCCTACCCGAGCCCTACGATATGCTACCGATGCATCGAGAGCAGCTTGAAATTCGAAGGTAGGGACAGTCAAAGTTGATTCGCTCGAATTGGGATTCGACTCGACTTTCAGATTCTCCAAGCTTGGCTTCGTTGTTTCAACCGAGTAGAAAGACTGGTCGTCGAGGTCTGATTGATGGTCTGAAGGACAAGACACCGAGATTTGGGATGGGATGGGCTTTTTTGCCTCAACAAGGCTCAAAGCGTCGAATGAGTCCTCTAGTGTTTCCAGCCGTGAGAGAAGATTCGTGTTCTCCACCAATTTCGTGAGCTTTCCCGACAAATCTTCATGGTTTTGTGCAGCTCGTCGATCGGAGTCACTGAAAGCCCCAAGCTGTTAATTCTCATGTCATGTCCGTAGGATCGCATGTGATATTACCATTGAAGAATGTTGAGAAGCAACAAAGTGGTATCCTTGAAGGCTTGAAGCCGGATGATGAATTCAGTGAAGTTGCCCTCTTTGCGAACCCATTGCATACGCGTCACAAGGCGGTCACCTCCAGACTGGCTGATCTTCAACACAGATTCTTCCAGTTCATTGAAGATGAGAACACCGTTCGTGAAGACGGTGATGAGATCGTCAATCGGGACAAGCAACGTTCTGCTCCTCGACACAACACTGAGATTGTCCAGCAAACCATGCAGTGCTGATAGGATGATGCGAGATTGGACGACCTCGGAGTGAACAGACCGTGCGATTTTGGGCGTGTCCCTTGCCGCTGAGATATACGGTCCAAGAATTTCTACGACCTTTCCGGCCGCAGCAAGAAGGCCGACGATGGCGGAGGCCACGCTCAGAGGATCGGCCATGTTCCAACGAGAGGGGAAATGGAAGTGAGATTGTCAGGCGGAAATTGTTCCAAACAAAGCAGGTTGCGAAAGAAATTAGGCTGGCAACAAGGAGGGGAAGCTGACTGCCACGGCTCGGCTGGAAAATTGGACCAATGGATTGATGCAGGAGCAGGGGCGGTGCAGCTGTCCTGCATCAGGACTCCGAGAGGAGCTCATGATGAAGGCAAGTGGTCCGCGAACCACAATTGCTTGACTCTTTCCCGCCTCCTGCCGAGTCTCCTCACTCTGAGAAACTCTGTATTTTGAGCGACTTTGTCAGCAATCAGCACACCAAGAAGGCGGAAGTCGTGCCGTGACATCGCTTATTACTCCGACCAATTAGTTGCCTAGTTTGGGGGACAGAGACAATTGTTCAATCTTCTCTCTCAGGTTGTCATCAAAGCGTGCTCTCATTCTCTATAGGTCTATTACTCGTCATAACCTAGGTGTTCAACTCACGCCACACGCTCAACTTTTCCCATAAACCCGCTCCCCGAAAACAGCACCCACAACTCCGCACCCTATCACAAGCCATACGCACAAGTTTATGCCTTGGTCAGCAAGTTCGCACCAGTCATCTCCTCAGGCTGGGGCAGGCCCATGGCGGCGAGGACGGTAGGAGCGACGTCACCGAGGACACCGCCCTCCTTCTTGAGGCTCCAGCCCTCGGGGGCGTTGGCCATGATGAAGGGGACCTTGTTGGTGGTGTGCGACGTCTTGGGCTTGCCGTCGGCGAACTTCATCTCCTCAGCGTTGCCGTGGTCGGCGGTGATGAAGAGGATGTAGCCCTCCTTCTTGCAGGCCTCGTAGATCTTGCCGATGGCCTTGTCGGTGGCCTCGACACCGACGATGGCGGCCTCGTACACGCCCGTGTGGCCGACCATGTCGGGGGGCGCGAAGTTGTTCATGACGAAGGGGAACTTTTGCTCGCCGAGACGCTTGGCGACCTGGTTGGCGACACCGTCCGCGGACATCTCGGGGGCCTTGTCGTAGGTGGCGACGGACTTGTTGGAGGGGACGAGATCCTGCTTCTCGTCACGGGTCTCGAGGGCGAAGACCTTCTCGACACCGCCGTTGAAGAAGAAGGTGACGTGGGCGTACTTCTCCGTCTCGGCGATGTGGACCTGCTCAACTTGCTGCTTGCCGAGCCACTCGGCGAGAACGTTGCCCATGCGCTGGGGCTCGAAGGCGATCTCGAAGGGGTAGTCGGTCTTGTACTGGGTCATGGTGACCAACTTGTTGATCTTGGGGTAGGGGAAGTCGGGGAGGACGGAGCGGTCGACGTCGCCGAGAAGCTGGGTGATCTGGCGAACACGGTCGGAGCGGTAGTTGAAGAAGAAGACGGTGTCGTCGTCCTTGATGCGGCCTTCCTGGCCACCGACGATGATGGGGGTGAGGAACTCGTCCTTGTCCTTGTCACCGCCGCGGGCGTAGCGCTCCTTGACGGTCGCGACGGGGTCGGTGCTCTCCTCGCCCTCGCCGAGGATCATGCCCTTGAGGGCGAGCTCGACACGCTCCCATCTCTTGTCGCGGTCCATGGCGTAGTAGCGGCCAACAACGGTGGCGATCTTGCCGATGCCAATCTCCTTTGCGGTCTTGACAAGCTCCTCCATGTAGCCGGCGCCGGACTTGGGGTCGGTGTCGCGGCCGTCACCGAAGAAGTGGATGTAGACCTCGGGGACGCCATACTGCTTGGCGGCCTTGAGGAGGTTGTAGAGGTGCTCCTGCTTGGAGTGCTGGAGGGGAATCAGACGTCAGTGACACTTCTATTTTGGGGTGATAGTATTCGGGGCGACTTACAACACCGCCGTGAGAGACGAGACCGCACAGGTGCAGTCTGCCGTTGCCGTTCTTGGCGCTCTCGAAGGTCTTCTTGATAACAGCGTTGTCGGGGAGCTGGCCGTTCTTGATGGTCTGGTCGATGCGGACGACGTCCTGCCAGACGACACGGCCGGCGCCAATGTTCAAATGTCCGACCTCAGAGTTGCCCATCAGACCCTCGGGCAGACCGACGGCGAGGGAGGAGGCGTCGAGCTCGCAGTAGCCGGTGCTGCTCTTGGCGAAGTCGTCCATGACGGGGGTGTTTGCGTTGGTGATGGCGTCGCCATCCTTGGGGGACTCGGCGCCGGGAACACCCCAGCCATCAATCACGACTGTAGGAGCGCAAGATCCACAAGATTAGCCAGCCGACCTCGAGGTACAGGACGATGTAGGCGAGGGTGAGGACGTAGTCGGGGGAATTGTGCTTGGGCTTGGGCTGGACAAGATTTGAGGGCTTGGGAGGAGGGGGAGGTGCCTCTCCAGATTGCTGGTTGGCTTGGTTCTGGACTTGTCGACCAGCTTCGAGGCTCACACCACTGCCACCACCACCATCAACACCACCAACAACGCGACTGCCATCACCAGCACCACCGCGGGGTCGCAAGGAGGGGCACGGAGGGTTGGGAGGGAGATCTTTTGACGTACTCAGGCAGGCCTTCTGGTCGGTCTTGGCCATGGTGTATATGTATTCTATGCTTCGATGTCTTTACAGGATGGGTATGTAGGAGGAAGGGAAACAGAAAAAGGGCAGAGGGTTGCGTGATTTTTTATTTTTTTTTCTCGGCCGCGGTGGTGGTGAGGTTGAGGAGACAAGACTTGATTGAATCGGCCCAGCCAATGCACCTTGCACACAGTCAGTCGGGACCTGCCTGCCCAGCAGCTCCGGTCGGTCCAGTGTCTGCTGTTCTGTTTTATCGGTGTCAGTGTTTGGTGGGGGTTTATGTCATAGTATCGCCGATAATAGACCCGTGTCGGCGTGATTGTTATTGGCACTGTCCACAACCACGGTAATGAGGTGGGACTCACAGTGCCGTCTCTATCATAAACAGTGTGGGCTGATGGAAGCTGCCCCTCTGTTGACTTTCAACAATTTTTAGCTGCCAATCGGCGACGCGCTAAAACGCCCGTGGTAGCTCCCGCACCGCAACTGTCTCGGCGGAGCTTGCCCCTGCCACTCTCGACACTTTGCCCAGCCCGGAACTGCTGCCTCCTGCAACTGCGACTGCACCTGCACCTTCGCCTGCAATTGACTTTGACGCCTCGTCGACCTCGACCAACGACACCACGGCAATTACGCACACGCCCCGAGGCTGAAGCTCCGACTCTCCTCCTCCTTACCTCACACTCATAACAACCTACAATCTCCCAGCTCCACACGCGCCTGCCTCCCGGGCGCCTAAACCATCAAGATGCCTCCCCACCCTCTCGAGCTCCCATCAACCCTCTCTCCCGACGCCCTCGACACCCTCACCGAGCTCACGGGCATCCTCACCCGCCTGCGCACCGCGATCCAGACCTCCGGCGCCGCGGGCGGCATCACGGGCGCGACCCCGGCCGCCTCCGGCCCCGGCGCGACGCCAAACACCCTTGGCGCCAGCCCGAACACGCCGCTCTCCCTCAAGGACGTGCCCGCCCAGACCGACGCCCTGAAGCACAAGCTGCAGCGCGCCCGCGTGCAGATGCGCGCGCTGCCTGACATGGAGCGCACCACCGCCGAGCAGGAGGACGAGATCAAGGAGCTCGAGGAGCGCATCAAGATGCAGCGGGAAGTGCTGGACCGGCTGAGGGAAGCGGGCGTCAAGTTTGGACACGATGAGGGCGGAGGCGGCGATAAGATGGAGACGGAGTAGTGAATTGACGTTGGTTGATGGCAGGAGGATTGGGGACGGCACAGGCACGACGCTTGGGCAGCTTCACTTCAGCGACGAGGCAGGATGCTGCGGCAGGGATTACAGTTGATGTTTTTACCAGATTGCTCATATGATACCCGAAATGCGACTTGGACGATACTTGAACAATGGACAGAAGACGCTATTCCTTGCGCCTGTGCAATACCTCGCCCGCCAAACTCCTGTCCAAACCAAACCGATCGACTAGGAATATGCGAACAGCTCAATGCTTCGGTATACCAACAGCCTTCAGTATATCATGCAAGTCCTTGCCTTTCTCTCCCGGCACCGTCTTTGTCCAAATCTCCTCAGCCAGTCGCTCTTCCTCCGGCAACACGCTCCAATTCGGGCTCGGCTCCGATTTGAGCCACTTGAAGTCGTCAACCTGATCCCACTGGTTCTTGACCAGGTCTTCAGGAGTATCCTACAAAAACGTCAGCATTTCACACTCAACCCTCCTGAGCCCGCGAAACTCACAAAAGCCGCCGGCAGCGGCGCAAACCGCATATTCTCACAATCCTCAATAATCGGATGACTCGAGCAGTGCAGATAGATATCCACGTTCCTGCACTCATGAATCCGCACCTGCCGCGCCGACACCACCACAATACTGTCCTTCACCCCGGTAATGTGCGCTGGCCCCGCCACGTTGCCCGCCACCACCAGGCTGCCCTCGACATCCCGCAGCGCCAGGTTCGCAAACGACGTCGTGCCGGACAGCGCGAGGGACATGTCGACGATGCACCCGCGCAGGTCCGTCAGCCGGCCCGACGAGGTCGCCCGCGACGCCGACGACGGCAGGATGATGTGCAGCCCGTCCTGCCCGTAGATGGCGATATCCTTGGCCGTGGAGAAGCTCGGCTTGCGGACCTTCGTGGTGCTCGGGCGCGCCATCTCCTCGTTGTAGTTCTTGTGCGGGAAGGACGGCAGCTCGCCGAGGCCGTCGTCAGTCTCGGCGGCGGCGGCGCGAGACTCGGGGGCCATGACGGGCCCGCCGCGGGAGGCGGGGAGGGGGTCGGCGAGGCTTGCGCCGACGACGAGGCGCGGGTCGTTCTTGGGCGCGGGGAGGTCACTTGTTGCGGCGGCTTTGCCGCGGGACTTGAACTGGAAGCGGGAGCGCGGGGCGAGTTTGGTGGTTGTTTCGTTTAGCTTGTCCGTGAGAGCTTTCACGGCCTGCAGATGGGTTAGAATCTACCTGGTGTCGTAGGAAATTGGTGAAGGAAGAGGACTTACCTGGGCGTAGGAGCGCTGGTCATATGAAGGCACGTAATCCGAAGCGTCGGCGACCTCGTGGGAGAGGGCGGATATGCCGGCGAGAATGTGGTCAATGGCATCCTGCCTCTCGCCGCCTACCTGGGATACGGACCCGAGGCCGTCGATCTGGTCTTGCAAGCCTATTACATGTGGAGTCAGCTATGGAAATCCGGGGTAGATCAATAGCAGCATGATCATAGATCAGTGACATGACCAAACGTACCGGCGACTTCATCCTGGAAATGGCGGTAGAACTTCTCCTTGGGGTCGATCTGCATCCTGGTTACTGGCAATCCTCCTCCGTAAGCGACAGGCTGAATCACTTCAGGCGCCATTGTATTTGATTGTGTCTCTTCTCAAAAGACAAGAAATAATATCGCCAATGTCTTTCTTTATGGACCTTTCTTTATATATACGAGGCGAGAAACACACAAAGAAGCAAGCTTCTGAGCTCGTGTTTCAAGAATGAGGAAGAGGGGTGTGTGTGACAGATAACAAAGGGACGAAATCTTGCCGACGTTACCTGGGGTAAATAAAAGGTAAAATCGAGGCGCGCGCGGGGGAGGTTCGCTTTCGATAACGGTCTGTGGGCTGGCCAGCTGGGGTGAGGATATCCCGGGGAAGTGGCGTGTTTGGCGATCTTTCTTGGGTAGCTAGCCCGAGCTTCGGTTCGCTTTGGTGTCTTGAAAAACACGCGACTCTTTTTGGGTGTGACGTCGCTACGTAGCGTAGGCAAATGGCGGGTTGTAAGATCCGGGGTTGGAGGCGAGCAGTCCTGATGCTGTGTGAGGTCGGTCGTGTGTGCTGTGCTGCATGCAGAGGTCGGGAAGGGTAGCAGCAGCTCGACGGGGAGAAAAGCAGCTCAGTTGTGTCTCCGAGTGGGATGATGCGCTGCTGCAGGGTGAGGTGAGGTGATGGAATCAATGCCTGCTCAACTCTCCCCCTCCATCGATGGAACCAACCTGGCCTGCCGCAGACAGAGCTTGGAGGCGGCGAGCTGTGGTTCTAGCCGGCGGGGCTCGCCTGTCGCTGGGGCAGGGGTTCCCAGGCGCAGATTGGCGGCTCAGTCGGGTTTTCTTCAGTGGGGCGACCTCGACTGCACCAGCGATTCCACATCTTCTTCTCTTCAACTCCAAACCTCGCTCATAATTGGCACCTTCACTGACGTGCAGACGAGCCATCGACACCACCAGCCGACGGATCGATGACCCGGTGCTGCAAGGATAGCAGCCACCACTAACACCACCACCACATCGTCTATGCTGCAGCAAACACGATGATGAGGGGCGGGGAAGGGGAGGTGTCAGTGTGGAAGCGCTGACGGCACAGACCGCAGGCGCCATGCCTTCCCCGCAATGCATCGGCGGCCTGTGTGTGCCAATTGGACCCTGGATCGGCCGTCTCCTGGTGTGTGTGTGAGCGAGAGGGCCGTCTGACGTCGTTCGCATGGAGACTTCATGTGCCGGACCGCCTGCGGGAGTTGGGATGAAGTAATGGGTGGTGGATAAAGTGTGGGGTATTCATGTGCAGGTCTTCCACGACATTACGATGTTGCGCAGTGACGACCGTGGGTGTGACGTTCTCTCTGACGACAGTTGAAGCCTCAGAATCCATCGTGACATTTGATCTGATGAGAAGGTAAACATGGAGACATGCTTGGCGGCAGTGGATTTGAGTTTTGGGGTGCAGAGAAGCCGTTTCTCGTCGTTCATCTTTCGGCTTCTCATTTGGGAAAGACGTCTTTTATTTTAGGAAAGGTGTCATGCGACGGCGGCAACCCATTAGGAAGGCGCAGGGCTGGAAGTGCCAGAAGCTCTCTGAAGATGAAGAAACGCTCACGGGTCAACATCACAAACACAAATTACAGGATGCTAATGTGCAAACAGAAATTGACAGGGTATATTGAAGTCATTAAATCATTATCATATTCTCATCATCATGTTTCATAAGAAGACGTCCAGGACTCCATCCAAGACATCACATCACCGAAGAACCTCATGAAGCATCCTGCATCTCACCCACACGACCAATCCGCCCTCAATAAGCGCAGCACTCATCCAACCCCGCGGCATACTTCGAGGCCAGGTAGTACTCCATGTCGAGGCGATCGAGCCTCTTCCACTCCTCCGCGAGCAGGCACTCGCCTCTCTCCTTCCACCCGGCAGCAGGCCGCGGATCAACGTATCCGCTACGCATCTCGAGCCGGATCTTCTCCAGCACCCTCTGCCACTTCTCAATGGTGTCCCGCGACTTGGACATCTCCGCGGCGATGTGCTCGCGGCTGTTGTCCTCTCGAGGACGCAATCGCTGAGAGTCCTCGAGCTGGCGCAGGCCCGCGGCGCGCTTCTTCCCCGCTAGGATCTTGAGCTCGTTGTCCGTGGCGTAGATGAGGTTGAGCACCCCGTCGGAGCGATCCTCGTCGTAGAGCGGGTCCACGTCCCAGGCGTCGCTCATGTGGATCTCCGGGCTGGCGTAGGGGACATCGGACATGGTGATGTCGGCCATGGCGTCGGAGACAATGTCCATGTCCATGTCGAACACGGCGCTGGAGACGTCGCTGGAGACGTCGCTCATGCTGACGTCGGGCGAGTTGTAGGAGGCGTCGTCAATGTCCATGGCGACGTCGTTGTTGTATCCCTGGGCCGGGGCGCATATGCCGGCCATGTAGTGGTCAACACCGTTGGAGGGGTTGCTCCCATCGGTGAATTGGTGTGCCACGGCATTGTGGCTTTGTTGAACAGGGGAGGTTACGCCATCCCAATTCCAATTGGCGACCGCCTGGAACGGGTCGGCAGCAGCGGCGGCGACGGCGGCAGTCTTCACCTTCTCCTGCTGCTTCTGGACGTACTTGGCCCTCATAGCGTTAAGACTCTTGAGGGCTGCCATTGTGTACGTAAGTTGCCTTGTGAGTAGTTGTAATAAGGAGTAGAATGGATGTATAGGTAAGAGGCCTGTTGGAATCTATTCGTAGGATAGATGTGGTGGTAGGCGGCCTGCAATATGGGTGTAGATGTGAAGAAGATTGTTTGCCGTGGATCGTCAAGTTAGTATATGCACTACTGGAATCTGTGTGATATTCCAATTGTGATATCCTAAGATGGGATGGGGAGGTCGGAAAATGCAGACCACAGCAGGAGAAGGTTGGGCAGCTTATAAGCACTCCCTAGACCATCCGGAGAAACGTCCGCCTTGTTGAAGGTCAACCTTTGAGACCATCCTCCACAAATGATTTTGGAGAGACATCTCCGAAGGGAGGAGTTTGGTTGTACGATGGGTTTGAGAACCTCGTGTGGTCGATTCCTCCAGGTAGTCAAAAGAACCTGTGGCGATTCTACCTTGGTCGAGTCTGATATTTCGAGCTTTTCCCCCAAGATGGCTTCCATGCACGTGACGCGGTGAGGGAGATTGATACCAGAAACCTCTACGGCTTGACACGATTCTGCTTCCTGTGTTAACCTTGACTGATACTCATCACACACGCCCTCCACAAAGGTGTCGACCACACAGGTTAAGTTCGAACAACACAGCTCGGTCACTTCCTGATGTGGCATCCCTGCTTTCGTGCTGGTTCTCATTGACAGTGACCAAATTTTTCAGGTTTCCCGAGCCAGACTTTTCTACGCCAGAGGCTCAAACATGTTGGTTAAGAATGTTGACATTGGTTTCTCCTAGCTTCTACGCAGACGCCATCATCTCGCAACTTTCTCCGAAGTCCAAGAGGCCTGAGTGCTTGGATGTCTTCGACATTGGCATTTGGCAGAAATGGTCTCGGCCAAAGAAATCAAGCTTACACGACATTGTACTCTCCCCCGTCTGCACTCATTGCGGTATCCAAGTCAGGCACCCTTCACTTGCTCTCTTCAATAGTGGGCACTTCATACTCCGAACCCTCGCCAACCTCATCAACCACATCTTCATCCCTCCTCCAGTTGCATCCGACCTCTGACCATTCGGTTATTGTTCCCGATGCTCTGGTGGCTGTCACCCTAAGACAGCGTTTATTCTGGTGATTGAAGCGGAAGTGGGCACGGCTCTTGCCACAATCGATGCAGAACTCGGCCATCTCCGGTATGCCACGGGTGTCGCATCCTCCCCAGTCAACGAAGGTGAACTTGCGACCGGAGTTGACGAAATATTCACCGCGGTACCAACACGACCTTCCTTCGCAATAGTAAGTGGCAACCATGCGGTCGGCGGCACATCCGGCGGCCAAGGTGGCGGTGATGATCGCGATGTCGAAGCGCATATTGACTGACGATGAGGATGGCTTATATCCGCACTGATATAAAGATACGTCAGTTAATGTCAACAACACGACATGTATTCTCTTTCCATGCGGCTTGCCTCGAAACGATCTTTTACTATAAAGCTGTGAGCTAAGCGACGTCGTCTTGATGAGTGCAACGTACAATGAGTGTGATGGAGTGAGTGAGGATTCAACTGAGGCGAGAGACTTTTGGGCTTTTATAGCCATCGTGAGTATGGTGTCTCCATGACATCCATCCTCAAGCTTCTTTGGACTTCCTGTATTTGTATGAGACATTGCGAGCGCCGAGAACTATGATCGGGCAACTTGATGCCTATCGTACGATCCCAAGACTGTGGGCGCCCTTGGCAATCAAGATCTTGATTGAGTGAATGACTGAGCGAGCAACGTCTTGTAACTATGAGTAGCACACCTACATATTGCTCTAATGCTTCTAAATTCTGTTCTCTATTGTTTTGCCTGAATCTGCAAAGTAATGGTCCAAAGAATGTTACACGAAAAGTGGGAGTTCATGAAATGATCAAAGGCCTAGTTGCTATCCATACAACTGCGCTGCTACAGATGAGCCAGACTACCACTGCCTGAAGTAGGTTGAGTTTGATTCAATCTCATCCATTTTCTGGGGTCCCCGCAAACGACAACTTCTGAATCATGCCCAGAACATCGGCGGTCTTAGGGCTTACCGATTAGATTCAGCTCAGGCAGTAGATGCAGTCACGATGGACGAACTGTGACTAGGTAAAACGTGTCTCAAAATCATTTAAACCTACTTTTAGGGATAATTCGACCTGGACGTATACTTGCCTGATATGGCCAGTGTGGAATCCACATCCGCTGCAAAGCTGTGTCTCAACCATCCTCCTCGCTAGGTTGGAGATAGTTCAGCTGAGCAACCAGCACCGTTTAGACAACTACTGGCATAATGGTGGGTGTCGTGAACCTTTGTCACATGAGTCACAACTGTGGGCAACATCTATCAACTTCACTGTACTTCAAGGTGCGTTTGCGAGTTCGGAGGCCCGAAACTTTCAGACACATCTTTCTCGGCCGTAATACGGTGTCAAGACTCAAATGAAGCGGAAGGGTCACCAAGTGTGTGAAGTGATAGGTCTGATACCGAAATCAACTAATATTACAACGAGACATCACCTTGAGTGTAGGTCTTTGAGCGTCAGTGCAGGCTGTCATCTCCTATGTCAAACCACCCGGATGACCTGTGACTCAACCCAAACTCAAATCCACACGAACCACAAACACCTCGATGTTCGAGACGATGAGTCAACCACGTAGAACCGTGGACTCCCTTCATATGTCTGACTTCCTGACTGGTCATTCAACAAACACAAAAAGGTCCTGTAGCTCAGTTTGGTCAGAGCATCGTCCTGATACCGCGTCAGATACGGCGGGGGTCGCCAGTTCAACCCTGGTCAGGACCATCTTTTTTTCTTTATTTTTGTCCTTCGTTTCTTTACGCTTTTTGGTTCACGCCTGCTTCCTTTCTTCAACCGAGACGCCGATCTTCAGTTCAAGGTGAGTTTTGCTAGTCGGGTAGTGTCATTTGGCTATCCGGGTAGTGGCTATATATATATATTCCGAAGCCTGTTTCTAAAGCGACTATTATATTTCCCATTCTCGCTTTTATCGTCGTTTATTATTATTATCATCGTCGTCATCGTCGTTATCGCTATCCTTATTACTACTTCTATTATTCTCTCTATAATCACGGATTATAGGGGACACTACCCGGACAGCCAACGAACACTGCCCGACTAGCAAAACTCTTCAAGATTGACTGACGTTGTATGTTTCCCCTGTGTTATGATCTCGTGGTCTTGCTGGGTCAGGAGGCGCACTTACTGACGGCAAGGCTCATATGAAGGCAACGTATTGTTGTGCTTAGCGATGCATACGCCCCTCTTCAACCACAAACAGCGACAAAGATGGACGATCAATAAGCAACATTACTTTCACAGTGTCTTTCAAACCATGATCGTGATGAGCTTGAATTTCCACAGAAGCGAATCTTATAACCATCACAGAAAGCTACCATCAGAAAGATTAGACTGGCTATTTCGCTGTAGGAAGCACCCTCTATTGCCATTGCTGTCATATATCTAGTTAAGTGCCATTCAGGGGGCATTCAGAGGCATTGGTCTCTCTGTATAAGTTGAATGTGGTGACATACTTATCTTTCTCGACCCCGCAACAATGCCGGTGTCTGTGGCCAGAGGGTTTGGGCCAAAACTCTGTCACACAATTGGAAAATCAAATAATGGTGGGTGGTAGTTTTGGCCGTTGACAGCCTGATAGATACCCTTGCTTCGTGTATTCGCATCCGTATGAACTGGATGAACGCGGAACGAGGACAGTAGCACGGCAGGTTAGATGAAACAAAACACTTGTTCTACGGCGGCTACTGACTTTTACGGACGTTGAAGTTCTCATCACCACACCATCGCAGAAACGGAAAAGCGGAGCATACTGTATGAATTGGAAGTCTTGAAAGGATATATCTATTGACGCCTAAAAACGCTGCATCGCTAAGACTCTCTATGAGGAAGTACACTTGACACCCTTGACGCCATCAACCGTGGTCTCTTCACACTTGATCGCCGTCGTGGAGGTGAAGGTCATGGTCACAGTGCCGTTGGTTGAAGCTTCGTAGTTCACGCTAGCTTGTTGTCAGCTATCACTCGTGATAACATGGTTGCGACGCAGGCTTACCTGGAGTTGAACTTGATGGGGTTGATGCCGATGCCAAGACCAATGTTCATGGTGTCCTTGGTAATTGTGAATCCGCCGCCGAGGCCGAAAGAGTCCGAGCCGGATTGAAGACCACCTGTCAAGCAATCCGCTTAGTATTTCTGTTGTAAGAAGAGAGTTCCGGGAACGCGATATGCGTCCCTCGGTTTCCGTCCCGAGTCCATCGTCTGAGCCGGGTCACTCCGTCCCAGCTTGACCGCCAACTTACCTCCAAAAGACTGGCCCTCAGCCCAGTTGATGCCACAGCCGACTCCGATACCTCCGAAGGGAGACAACGTTCCCGCTGCGCTGACGGCGCCGGTTCCAGAAGTGGCCGTGACGTTCTTGGTCAGCGCCGTGATGTCAACAGCGGGCGTGGTATTCTGGCGCGGAGAAAGAATTCCGGCGGATGCGAGGCCAGCGAAGGCGACGAGCTGGACGAATGAGTTGACCATCTTGAATTCCTTCTTCGTAAGACGTTGCTAGGTATCGGATGGGATTCTGGATCGTAGTGGAATTGATCGGCGGATCGACGTTGACGCGTGGGAACGAGTGACTGTGGTGAGTGAAACTTGCGATGAACGCCTCCACCACCTCGCGCGTTATGCAAGGGCGGGTTCGTCGGGCAGTTATATCTCGCCGCACGGCACCCACCACCGGGAAAGGGGGAGCAGCGTTGCCCCAACCTTTCATGACGAGTGTCGTGCGGTCCACCCTCCGAATGTCATTTTTGGGGCTGATGTGACTGCGGGCTGCCCGGGGACTTGTCTCAAGAGCGGGCGCGCAATCTATTCAGAAAGTCTATTTTGAAACCCCGGTCCTGGGCAATTGCGTGCAAGTGCCGAGTGAACCCCTATTTCCGGCGGACTGGTTCTTG